TTTACGTATTTCCCTCAATTTCTAGTGTGCTGCAACATTCCAGCGTGAACAAGGTGCAACAAAACCGACATCCCGCTACAAGTTAAATGAAGTGGTGTCATGGTTAGGCTATGCTACATTTGTATTGTAAACAGTTTATGAACTGGCGTAAAATGGTTATTGATTCATGTTACCTCAATATGAGGTATCTCTCAATATGAAGTTGCTTCTTACAATATTATTCTTGGCTGCACCATTTATGGTTCAACTGCTTGTCTCAATCTGTGGACAGCTCTACAAGGTCAATAAGGTTTCAGTGTATTTCATATCATTAATGGAAAACAGGCAAATATTTTAGGAGAGTATTAAGACCTGAATATGTACACAAACTGCTGGACAGATTGAAGAATGATAATATAATACTCATTGACAAAATGTTATGGAGGGAGACGGCTTCAGGATGTCACGAACCACATGTTAATCAATATTGAAGATGCATCTGAAACTAATAATATGGTACGTGCAGTGACAACATCATAATGATAAAGTTACCATTATCATATATATAAACCTCCAATTGAATCTGCGTCTTAGTTATATGTAATCGTTTCAATCAAGAGAATATTAGAAATAGAAGTAAAAGGAAAACCAAATATAATTTGGGTTTTGTCATATTTGCTGTAATAAGCACCCAGGGCTTTTAGAAACTTTATAAAAGTAGGTGCTTGTGAAACCTTACACAAGAAAACTTTCGCGATCCTGTTTATAACCCTGAAATTGAGGACATTTGAAAATGCCTGCTGATAAGTTTGACTGTGTTGTTTCAATTTTTAAAAAGTAAATCAAATTTCTAGCATCTAAGAATAATTTTGAAGGTCCACAGTATTCTGTTCTTTGTTATAGTTGAGGGACTTAAACGATGGGCATAGGTAGGTGTATGAACATTTGAAGGCTGTGACTAGGAATGTGATTTCTACATATGTTGTGTTGTACGACATTCAGTCCAAAACACCAAAACACCCCTATTCTAACCATTGTTTACATTTTGTAAACTATGGATACCAAGTGACAAGTTCAACATGCATCTGTGTATAGTGTTGTAACAGTAAAATCTCACAAATCAGTTAATTTCTCAGAGCATGCTAAATTTCTGGCAAATAAAAGGCAATTTAATTGGTAAAGTAGATAAGCGTAACTTGGGGTTCTGTCCAAGATTTGTTGTTCTCAAGGTGTTTGTATGGAAAATAACCTATTTAGGAAATGATGATGTTGATTTTGAAATGAAATAAAAAAAGTCCAAAAAGGCAGATATATTTTTTTCTATCCCACATCTAAATAATATTTTTAATGTTCTCAAATGAAATGGAATTTTGAAATGTACATTTGCCAGCATTCTCCATATTCTACACTGATCTAAAAGGCTTATATTAACTACTGTATTCGCCATATTATACCCCCAGCTTCAATAGGTGCCCGATCAACTTCTGGATTCTTTATAAGTGCCCCCTACAAAGACTGAATTATTTTATTTAGTTTCAGTGACATTTGAACTTAGTTTGTTTACCACCGCTTGATTTCTTAAAATAAATTTAGCTGAATATTTAACAAGTGTCCTCCCTTTGTCATTTCTCAAATCTAATTTTCTGACCCTGGGTGCTTATTATGGCGAATATGGTAATTCCAGACATACGCTTTTTAACATTTATCTACTTGAATTCTTAAAAAGGTAAACAGAAATGTCATCTGTTTTAAATGAAGCAAATTGGTTATGTCTTGCTGTGATACAACAAACAATACGACACTTGACAGAATTGTGGCAGTTTATATTGTGCTGTAGACAATATCATGTTTAGTACTCTTATGTTTCCAAGATCTTGATTGTCTAAAGAATTCCATATCCAAGAGAAAGATATGTGTATTGATAACAATATATTGGATGTGTGTATATGTTAACTATGACAATTTGTGCATGCTGGTTTCTTGAAGACTTCCGTTATTTAATGCAAACCTAAGGTTTGTTGTTTATTTCACTATTCAGTCCTCTTGATTTAAAGAGGATGTTTCCCACATCCTAATATATACGTGTTCTTTCCTTCTATTGTGTTTTTTTATAGTTTTATACTGAATTTGTTATGCTTAACGTTATCAATCATATGTTTACACTTTTGTTTTCTCGAAACATTCTTGTGTTATTATTTAACATTGCTTGCTCCTTGGCAATATGTGGGCTTGGACCAGTCATGTATGCATGTGTTACAGGTGACTGCTCTATGCCGATGTCCAGAATATACTACTCAACTTTTAATAGGGCGAGTTAGATACCGTTTTCGAAGTAAAAAAGCGCCGGGGGCGCTCTCAAAATTAGAAATAGGGGGCTCTTATTAGAATATAATTTTGGTGAGACAAAAAGAGAGTTGAAAAATTGTAAATTTCGTAGTTTATGCTGACAGTCTGAAATGATACAAAAGAAAAGTATGTGCGTATCATGCATGACAGATATATTTTCCCGAATTTAATTGCCCATAATTAAGGGTGCATATAACACACGAGTGCGTATTATACATGAATAAATAAGTCTTGTGTACATTGATCAATCGGAAGGGGTGCTAATTGGGATTGTTCACCAGCCATTATCTTAGCAAATATCGCTGTGGGTGCTTATTAGAGCGGGGCGCTTATTACGTCGAATACGGTATGTCATTCTATATATTCACTTATACACTTGACATGTCAGAGGAAGAGTTCTGTGTTTCAGGCAAAGATAAAAATATCCCTAACAAAAGGGGAGTAGTATAATTTTAAATCTTTTACTGCCCATTGATAACAAGGACACTCCAAATCATACATTAGTATATATAAGGGTGTAACACTCACCAAAGGATAGATGGAATACCGTAGACATGATACGAGTTTGATATCGTGAGATTATGCTTTGATACAAAATGATACAAGTAAATGCAAGGGTGATATGTAAAATGGTACGAAATGAATTGTACCATACCATTTTCTGATATATTAAAATATTCTTTAACCAGTGTAATTTTATGGACTTATATTTAGTGAAAATGTTCAGTTTGGCCTATTCAATGTCTCTCAAAAACATCTCTTGAACATTTAATTTGTTTTGTATCATGTTTTTATCACAGCCTTACTATAAAGATAGATATTGTACCGTAGCAAAGCGTTTTCTATGTCTGTCTGTGTAGTATTCCAGTATCCATGCATGGGTGACTGGTCAGACAGCGCCAAGTGACAAGCAGTCTCACGACATATTGAACCTCCAGCTCATTTCTACCTGTTTTTGTCAGTCTGTGATGTGAATGGATTGTCTTGTGTGTTAGCTGCACAGCCTGTAGTGTTCAGTGAGAGGGGCACCTGCTCTCACTCCTCCCCAGCCTGTTACAATGGGGCTTGTTGCAATCTGTGCCAGATTAATGTTGGCTTTTGTGGATTTTCTCAGAAGCTGGCAATCATATGACAGGTACATTGTAGAATTTAAAGTGTAAGAACATGTATTTGGAAAATACAATTTGTATTTTATGCCTACAGTTTTGTAACGTGGAACGTCCTGTCATACATGCGTGTGAATGTTACAGTGGCTAAATGTCCTGTGGCTGGCTAACTTGACACGTGTCCTTCGCTTTCAATGCATGTGATAGGGTAATGTAAGTCTCATGTGTATTATTTATGGCTGAAAGTATGTCTTTTATGGCCACACAGGACATTGGGTTCTCTATAGCACTGTAATCTCATAGACAAATTTAGCCATTCTGTAATTCAAATCCTAGGATGTATAGCTGAACCTTTCGTATATGCCAAATATGGTAATGAGGTTCACATACAAGGTTTTTGAGAAAGTCGACGATACAATGCTGACCTGTTAAATAACCAGCCAGCTGACATTACAGCTCATTTGTGATGGGCAACTTGAACAGGACCTTGTCCATTAGCCTTCGAGGTAAGAAGGTGAGTTATTTTTATTAGCATTTATCCTGCTTATCATTGGCATTCACATGAAGGCAGCTGGGAAAATTGAGAAAGAAGGAAGACACCTGTCCTCCAAAATATGAATGTGCCTGCTACTCTTGTGTGAGGACAGAGGAGGGAATTAAAGCAAGCCTTGGAATAGAACAACTTATTTGTCTGTTTGATATGGGTTCATCGTTATTCCAAGGTAGCAGGGTTTCTTAGGACAAAGGCAATGGTTGGGGAGGAGTTTACTTGAGAGGGCATGTGCTATCTTTCATAAAAAAGGGCACCTGTTACCATGCTCACGGAGCACATGCAACTTTGCTCACTCACACCTGTAGCTTATACACACAATAAAATGTTTCCACTGTCACAGTTCTGCTGTTTTCTTTATCATTCCATAGGATACCTTTGCAGTTGTGGTAGTTTGTGCCTTTTTTATTTATTTATTTATTTGTTTACACATTATCTTAGTGATCACATGATTCTTAATCAAGGAATTGGTGGATGGGTATCATAGGTGGCCCTCTTGTCCAAGTTATGCCAGATACATCTGAGACATGCATTTTACTTTCATATGAAGCTGTGACCTGTGAAGATCCGGGTTAGAATATGTCTTCAGCAACCCATTCTTGTCGTAAGAGGTGACTAACAGGATTGGCTGACTTGCTTGATGCATGTCATTATATCTCAGTTGTTTAGGTCGATGCTCATGATGTCAATCACTGGATTGTCTTGTCCAGATCATTTACAGATCGCCGTCATATAGTTGGAATACTGACAAGTGCGGCATTAAACAAACAAACAAATCATATGAAGCTGAAATTCACTCCTACTTAAAGTCCTGCCATAGGCTAATGTGCATTTATAAACTTCTTTCTTAATCATGACTATGACGTCATCCTTCGCATCACAGTGAGAGTGAAATATCATAATAGTGATGTATGATATAAAACTAAACTTTGCAAGGCTTAATAAACCCCCACAAGCTGTGCCACTCTTAGGTGCAAGTAAAAGATAAAACTGTAGAACAAATGTAAAGACAAAGAAAGTACAGAACGTAATCAATGTATGTGCTTTATTTTCTGTACATGGAACCATGATAATAGAAGTCTTGAAGGAAAACCTCAGCATCTTCTATTCCTGGTTGAGCTGGTCACTGAATGGTCAGCACTGACCACACCCTCCTTGTGATGCTAACTCTGCTGGTCACTGTATGGTCAGCACTGACCACACCCTCCTTGTGATGCCAACTCTGCTGGTCACTGAATGGTCAGCACTGACCACACCCTCCTTGTGATGCCCAATCTGCTGGTCACTGAATGGTCAGCACTGACCACACCCTCCTTGTGATGCCAAATCTGCTGGTCACTGAATGGTCAGCACTGACCACACCCTCCTTGTGATGCTAACACTGCTGGTCACTGTATGGTCAGCACTGACCACACCCTCCTTGTGATGCTAACACTGCTGGTCACTGTATGGTCAGCACTGACCACACCCTCCTTGTAATGCCAACTCTGCTGGTCACTGTATGGTCAGCACTGACCACACCCTCCTTGTGATGCTAACACTGCTGGTCACTGTATGGTCAGCACTGACCACACCCTCCTTGTAATGCCAACTCTGCTGGTCACTGAATGGTCAGCACTGACCACGCCCTCCTTGTGATGCCAACTCTGCTGGTCACTGAATGGTCAGCACTGACCACATCCTCCTTGTGATGCACTCTCTGCTGGTCACTGAATGGTCAGCACTGACCACACCCTCCTTGTGATGCACTCTCTGCTGGTCACTGAATGGTCAGCACTGACCACACCCTCCTTGTGATGCCCAATCTGCTGGTCAACTATAGTCTCAGACAGAATGGATAATGTGATCCCTAGGGTTCTGTATGTGATACACTGGTGTAAGTGTCATGTGATCTTTAGAAGGACACCTGCATTGTGAATCACCTTGTTACTTGGTTGCCCTGACAACACCACACACAACAATGACTTTGGTCGAACCTTCTTTGCAATCCTCTTCACTCTTTTGTCTAATCGCTTCATATATCTCTGAAATACATGAATTTCAAACTGATGACGAGGGAACATTTACACATTTTGTGTGTCAATAAATAGAAGTGAGATGAATTGGGGTTACACCTCACATTCAAGATAACTTCTCTTGTACAGTTGGCACAGGTGGCCCAGTCGTCTAAGGCACCACAATTCACTGTGCAGAGTTGCGTCCCTTGGGCATGCCAGAAACCTATGATTGTGGGTTTGAAATCGGTTCACCCCGATTATGTTTCTAGGTTTGTCAGCACCAGACCCCTGCTTGTGAGTTTCCTCCCACATTAAGCTGACATGCCGCTATATAACTGGAATACTGTTAAAAGCGGCGATAAACCCAACTCACTCACTCACTCATGGTGACAGAGAAGAAGACAGGTAGGTTGTGACTCACAGAGGAAAACTACAGGAGAGTAGTGTGACCTTACGCTTACACTATGAATCAGTGCATATCGTGGTACTCAAGTCATGTGATACTTCACAGGGATTGATTTAGCTATATGAAACATTCACCAGTGCAGCCTATTTTTGAAAAGTGCATCCTAATGATGTGTGGTGATATAACTGTGTTAAAAGCAGCGTTAAACACAGCTCACTCACGTGTACAGTGATGTGCATGCATGTGTAGTTGCTAATACTAATTTGGACTTATGTCAGTCTTTTAGTGCTAGGCCACATGGGCCACATGGTTACCCCTCTCTGATGCATTATACTGACTGAGCCGGACAGCCTTGTCGTTCTGACGTGAGCCGTAATGGAATGTCCTCAGATCTTTGTTTAGCGATAGCGAGAACTCAGATCTTATTTTAATGAGATTGTATGAACTGTGACGTCACATCTTTTCGTCACAATGAGCGATGTGACGTCATAATAGTGACTTGCGGTGTAGAAGGAAACCTTAACCTTAACATGGCTTGCTTAGTTGTCTTTAGGGGTTCCCACATCATGTTAGCTTAGGATGTTGCCATGCTACATGCTTTCGAGGAAAGTATTACGGTGTAAACAAACTGCTTGAACTAAGAGAGCACCATATTTTGTTTAAAGGCTGTTGTCGGTTATTCCGTAAATTCGGATGACAACCCACTCAAAACACTGGACTCAACCCATCGCTTTACTCAATGTATTTACTAACACTAAAGAATTTTTGTTTGTTTTGTCATGGTAGAATTTACATAAACATACTGTGTTTTCAATATAGAACTAGGTTACCTGTAGATTTAACCGCGCTAAATTTACATTTGAAACTTCAAGCTGCATGTTCAGTTCCAAATTCAATTTAGCATGGTTAAACCTACAGATAACCTAGGTCTACATTGAAAACACAGTGAGTTTATCTCCTAAGTGAGTGAGTGAGTGAGTGAGTAAGTGAGTACGGTTTTACCCCGCTTTCAGCAATATCACGGTGGGGGGACACCAGAAATGGGCTTCACACATTGTACCCATGTCGGGAATCGAACCCGGGTCTTCGGCGTGACAAGCATACGCTTTAACCACTAGGCTGCTCCAGTATCTCCTAAGTAACTAAATGATACTGAATGTTTTAAATGTTCTGGAGCTTCTAACCTTAATCAAGTCCTCGCCTTCCTTTTCCCCTTCTTCTCTCAACATAGACTCCTCTTTCTCTTCATCAGAATCACCAGTTTTTCTCACAGATGCTGCTGTCTCTTTCTCCTCCCTGGACTTTGCTGTTACCTTTTCCTCCCCTGTGTTGGCAGTGTTACTTTTCGTCCTCTGATTCAGTGCATGCAGCTGCACCCACACAAAGTCCTGCTTCTGCACGGCCTGCGCTGCAGCCTCCGTCCTGGCTTTGTCTGATGACCCGACGGTGCAACAAACAGACACATCTGACAAGTTTGATGACAGCGTGTCCGCCTTGTCAATAACTGCAGCTGTAAACACCAACACAGATATGTCAGACTACGCTGTGCACCATAATTTACAATCTTCATATCATTTTCCCATTTGTCAATTGTGTATGGATAGAATGGAGTTATTGACGATGTTGAAATCACAACAAAATACAAATATTAGAAACAATGGTTTGCCTAGTGAAGCTGATACTTGGCCAGCATAGTTTTACTAATTACAATGTATGACACAATTTTCTTTAAATTTGTGGAACCATTTCTTGGGATAAAATAATGATTTATATTTAAAAGAAATGTATGGAATATTTTCGTTACATCCTTCTTTCTCAGATTAGCCAAAACCTTAGCTTAACAGCTAAGCTAAAAGATGAGCTTAACAAATCAAAAGTTAATAAAATTTACAAGGGCCAAAAGCTAAAGCAGTTATGAATAGCAACTACAGTGGGGTCTGTTTAAATTGGACTTGTGTGGGACCGCAACTTAGTCCAGTTTAGACAGCGGTCCAAATTAGTGAGATTTTAGCAGGAGTTGTTACCAATGAACATACAAGACTGAATTCAATATTTACTTCCAATTGTACAAGAGTCAGTTCCCTGTATCTATGATGTCTGTAAAATGTAATTCAATCGGGACCATAAATTGGGTCTGGTTTCCAAAGAGAATTAGTCAGGTTTTAATAGATCCCATACTTAACATTGATGCATGTGTGACATTTGGCCTTCTCTCCTAATTTGCATCTCACCATATCCTAAATTGTTAGTCTGAACCGTTTATTTAGGGTCTGTTGCCATGACGCTGATACATTATGATCATGACGATCGTGATAAGGACAAATTCAAAATGGCTACCCATTTCAGCCACATTAAAAAATCCACTTTGTCAGCCATAGTTAGAGGTACCGAAATGAAAGTTGATATGTGGGCTAAATGTATAAGTAACAGTACACCCAACACTTTAAGAGTTAACTTAAATGGCACAAATGAAGCAGGGCTTGATTTGGCGAACTCTAACATGCACAAGGTGGATGTTGACATGATAACCTAGTTGCACCAGGAAAAACCAGGTTACACCCTGGTCCCATGAATATATCAAGTTGAAACACGGATGCATACACTAGTCTAAAATGTAAAAATCTCAGATATTGTGTCATGGTTTTACATAACTTAATGATGTATTGCAGTGTGATGACGTCAAGCCTAAGAAAGCATGATAATTACACCTAACACAGGGATCAGTGATGTAGTACATAAAGCTTAGAGGTAGTGGGTGTTCGTAGATTGTTGTTGTGTGGAAATGTCAGACACAAATTTGAATTTTTTTTACATGCACTTGATGCATGAAGACATAAATATTAGGTTGCACTTTTCAAAAATAGGCTGCACTGGTGCATGTTTCATATAATCAATCCCTGTGAAGTATCACGATATGTTTCATATCATGACTTGAGTACCACGATATGCACTAATTCATGGTGTAAGGGTAGGGTCACACTACTCTCCTGTAGTTTTCCTCTGTGAGTCACAACCTATCTGTCTTCTTCTCTGTCACCATGAGTGAGTGAGTGAGTTGGGTTTAACACCGCTTTTAACAGTATTCCAGTTATATCGCGGTGTGTCAGCTTAATGTGGGAGGAAAGCCCTAAGTGATGCAGGTCTCAGATGTTTACCACTTCGGTGAAACCCACGAGCACGGGTATGGTGCTGACAAACCTAGAAACATAATCGGGGCGAACCGGGATTCGAACCCACAATCATAGGTTTCTGGCGTGCCCAAGGGACGCAACTCTGCACGGCAATTGCGGCGCCTTAGACGACTGGGCCACCCGTGCCCCCTCTGTCACCATGAGAGTCAGTAGACTGTTATAGCAGGACTTTGGAAGAACAACCTACCTGTCTTCTTCTCTGTCGCCATGAGAGTCAGTAGACTGTTATAGCAGGACTTATTCTGTTGGAAGAACAACCTACCTGTCTTCTTCTCTGTCGCCATGAGAGCCAGTAGACTGTTATAGCAGGACTTATTCTGTTGGAAGAACAGGCGCCTCTTGTCCATCACCTGGGTGGCTGTCTCCCCCTTCCCGGTCACACCCTCAACTACACCCTTGGTGCAGCACTCAGACGAGGGATCCAGGTCTACCACAGACCGAGTCGCATCCCCGAAATCCAAACCTGCCATCAGTGTACACATACTTTAAAAGTGAACTATACTTCAACTCATCTGTGTTGGTTTAGCATCATGCTCAGCAAAGATGTTTTGTATTTATTCTATGGTCATATGTATATGTTGTTGAAATGATTGTGTGCCTGAGTGTAAATAAAAGTTCAATTTAGGCAATAAGCTTTGTCCTTCATTGGACTGTTAGGCTATTACAAAGGTAAATTCCTTTTTTTGTTTTAACTAAGTGTAGGGGTGTTGGTTGGTTGGTTTGATGTTTAACGCCGCACTCAGCAATATTCCAGCTATATGACGGCGGTCTGTAAATAATCGAGTCTGGACCAGACAATCCAGTGATTAATATCATGAGCATTGATCCATGCAATTGGGATCAATCACATGCATCAAACAAGTGAGCGAGCCTGACCACCCGATCCCGTTGTCGCCTGTTACTTGGGGTGTTGGGATTTCGGGAGACAATCATTGGCAGTAGTTGATGTTCATAAACTACAATGTTGGTTTGCTGATATAAATTGTATGATGCACAGTAGAATAACAGTTAATAATTACCATCACATACAGACACATGCAGGCACTGGGTACATTGCAATGTCTGGGCCTTAACTAAACATGGGCAACAGTCCTTGGATCATTGTCCCCGTTTGAGGTTTTACTGATTATCAGATGAAACTTTTGGTCCTTGTGACATGCAGCTTAGAACAGATGCTCATGTCATGTAACAGAGTTACTTTCAACTTGAAACAATTCTGACCTTTGTGCATCTTCAGCTGAACGAGTTCCATGGCTGCACGGGCATCCTCCACCGGACTGTGACCTGCTGACCCTGTCTGAATGTCCTGTCTGAACAATACAGGGTCCACACATCAGAAATATTTTACTAAACAGATGTTCAAATCTGAATTTGTGCAGTTTCTTCTATAGACATCATTAATATATTCATGTGAAAAAATTTCACTTTATAGATGTTAAAATGCAATATCAAGTAGATAAACAAGGGTATATGGTGGCCAAAGGTCATAGCAGGGCAAAATATAAAAATCAACGAAAAATCAGAATGTTATTCTGCCTACCACATACTTATTCCTACTTTTTCATATGCATGTGATATATTCAATATGGCAGCCATGGGGGCCATGTTTGAAATTAGATCAGAATCCTGACATCATTATGTAATCCTCAGAGAAATATTATCCTTTATTTTTCATAATTACAGATTTACTTGATAATAATAAAATATTTTTCAGAGAAAAGAATCAGAATTTGTTAATGAGTAGCCATCCTGTTTCATTCACAATATCACTTGAATAAATGCTGGTTGTGTTCTGTCATCATCAAACCTTACAAACCTTACATTCATCCATCAGCCATCACCCATATACGATGCTATGCAGTGTGGTAGTGACATATGTCTGTTTTAAGTAACCTAATGACATGTGGCCGTTTATAACTCATGGACCTCAAATTAACCCTACTCCTTGCATAAACATGGAAGGATTCACACAATGTGTAGAGCAGACAGTGACAAGGCACGTTGTACCAGTTGCACATGTTGTCAAGCAAGAAACATCACTGTTTGTTAGAGTGAGTGAGTGAGTGAGTTGGGTTTAACGCCACTTTTAACAGTATTACAGTTATATCGCGGCGTGTCAGCTTAATGTGGGAGGAAAGCCCTAAGTGACGCAGGTCTCAGACGTTTACCACTTCGGTGAAACCCACGAGCACGGGTATGGTGCTGACAAACCTAGAAACATAATCGGGGCGATCTGGGATTCGAACCCACAATTATAGGTTTCTGGCATGCCCAGTCACATCTAGATGTAATCAGAGCGCTCATTGGTCAGAGCACTCGCTGCAACCAGGCCATCGCTTAATTAAAAATTGCAACTATACCGGAAAGTAATTATATATATAAAACATATTGACAATGGAGTCATATAAAATAGCTACGCCATAAATCGCAAAGAACAATGAAGAACAAAGCATGGTTTATTTCACAATAAAACATTGTTCTATCATGACATCATTTCTGATGATTGGAACATGCGTTCGCAACTTGATGACATCGTATATTGGATGACGTTATTTTTGAGTGGGGAGTGTCTAGTGAGTTGTTCCCCATAGATGTAGCTGGCCAATGCAGATAAACATGATGGCCGAACAATCGCATCCAAATGAGAAAGAGACATGACAATCTTCATAGGGAGAAAATGTACAGGTAATCGACGCGGGAAATACCCACCTGTGCATGAAATTGAATTGCCCGACATTGCTGAGGTCGGATTGTATAGAGGGAGTCATCATTATTAAAATACGGGTAAATGTTTTTTAAGCTTGTACATTTCATCATCATCCTTAAAGAGGCTGTATGTAATGTTAATATCTCATATAAGAAATAAACGACTCATGGTCATTGTTTATCATACAATAAAACACTGCAGAGAGAATATACGACCCAGGGCTGCACCCCTCATGTTTTATTCTCCCTGCAGTGTTTTCTTGTTCAATAAACGGACGACCATGAGTTGTTTATTTCTCAATTATGCAACATGGGTTGATGCTACTGAACATACTTGAGGAACTGAGCTGTGAGGGCCTTGAGCCCAGTCTTCTTCCACCTGATGCCAGACATGTTGTAGATGACGCTCGTGTCGATCACATAGGGGTGGAACAACTGTAATTGAACCATGGAGACTTGTGTCAGTGGCAGTCAGACAGACAGCAAATGTATGGAATGGTTTCATGAGTGAGTGAGTTAGGTTCAACGCTGCTTTTAACAGTATTCAAGTTATATCGCGGCGTGATGCAGGTCTCAGACGTTTACCACTTCGGTGAAACCCACGAGCACGGGTATGGTGCTGACAAACCTAGAAACATATTCGGGGCGAACCGGGATTCATACCCACAATCATAGGTTTCTGGCGTGACCAAGGGACGCAACACTGCACAGCGAATTGGGGCGCCTTACCCGTGCCCCCTCATGGACATATTCAATAAGTGTTATAACCTCCTGTGGGTATGTTCATAAAGTTGATAAACATGGCAACAAGACTTTCCTTACCTGAAGGTACTGTGTGGGGATGATAATCTAATACAAGTAATTAACTCAATATTGCCAAACATTTGTGACACAGCAGTCTCATGAGTCTGTCCAGTGATTGCATGCATCTATTCAACTAATGCCAGCAATATTACAGCTGAAACAATTGTAGATAATAGTATTGGCAACTCCACAGCAATGAGATACCCTTGACAATTTATGACAGCTTTTTAGCCACCTGGGATCCTCATTTGAGTTGGCTCTTACAGCAGGGAGTGAGTGTTGTTTTATGCCACAGTCTCCACTATTCCAGATATGTCACTGCCTTTAAATAATCCAGTATACCCTGCTCAATAGTCAGACCTAAGGGACTGACTGGTTATTTGTTATAGGGGTGGGTGGGTCAGAGGGAATCAGGGGTGGGTCACCATAAACACATGACAGTCTCTAGGGGAGGGTAATAAAAAATAATACACATATTTGGGGAAAAATGAACATTTTATGATAAAATATAAAGTGCTTGGGGGTCAGCGGAAAAAAAGTACAAGGACAGAGGGAGGGTCATCCGAAAATATGACAAGGATTAGGGGAGGGTCATTCTTTTCAGCACATATTCGGGGAGGGTCATTCTTTTTAGTACATCAGTGCATCAGAAAACTGACCCACCCCACACTGTAATACATGGCCGTTCCCTAAGGGACTAACAGCCAATTGTGGGCCTCCACCTGGGCCAGTTGTGCTACCTGTTGTCATGGAGAGCTCTCCAGGGTATGGCATACCTTGAGTGCAAGAAGATCCCCGTTGAGAGACTGACCCACCCAGATGGCGTCTGAGGGCAGGAGTCTCTTCAAGTGCTTTTGTACATCCTTCAGACGAGTCTTCACTGGAAGCAACATCGTCTTCGTGATGCCACTGTATCTGAACACACAGCACAGGAAGCTGTTACTATGGTGACTGGCAATACATCATTGAGATTTCATTTGTGATTCTTCTTTCGCACATGCAATTTCTTTCACCAACCTGTGTAATGGTTTATTCATGTGGCACCTATAACTATAAGACAGATCCTGGCTTCAGTTAGTTAGTTATCAAGTGTAACATCTATACCGTATTCGACGTAATAAGAGCCCTGCTCTAATAAGCGCCCATGGCGATATTTGCTAATATATTGGCTAGTGAACAATCCAAATTAGCACCCCTTCCGATTGATCAATGTACACAAGACTTATTTATTCGTGTATAATACCTGTGTTATATGCATCCTTAATTATGGGCAATTAAATTCTGGAAAAATATATATGTCGTATATGAACATTTCAGGCTGTCAGCATAAACCAAGAAATTTACAATCTTTCAACTCTGTTGTTTTTCACCGAAATAATATTCTAATAAGAGCCCCCTATTTCTAATTTTGAGAGTGCCCTGGGTGCTCATTATGTCGAATACAGTATATGTTTTCCAGGACAGGTTAAAAAATACCTCATGTGTCCCTGGGAGATCAAACGGATAAACATTTTTAAAAAAACATCAGAGTAACCAATTCTTCTACCAATGATCTTGTCAAATACCCTGGTATGAATTGCTGAAACTGGCAAAACTATGTGGGCTGTTTTTCTTGTCAGATGCTTACTGTGTGAGGTAGTTTGTGATCCTGTTGTATGGTTTGACCAACGTGTCATACACAGTCTCTAACTTCTCGTTGACCACCGACACTCTCGTCAACTCATTCTCCTGGGCTGACGTGAGACACTGAAAGTCACAAATACTATCTCATCTCTGTGCACAAATCTCTACGTGAGCCCAAGTGTTGGACTCAAAAGCTGGTCAAACAAACATACAAATTATTATTTTTCTTTTAAACCAGAGATTATCGGTAAAATTATGGTTTTGATTGAAATAATAATTAATGAACCAAAAAAGAGAACCAAACTACAAAAATGTTTGCACATTGTATCTTAACCTCAGACCGGAATTGTACAACTGCTCAGTCTTACCATTTCACAATCTATAGCAAAGAGTGGACTTTTCTTTGACACAGATTTGTAACTGTTACAGCTGAACTTGAAATCCTTGTAGCGATCTGAAACTCCAAATGTGTGGAATATATTCTTTATTCAACCTCGTGGGGGAGAGTGAAATATCACCACAATGAAAAGATTTTCAGTTATACTATACTACTGCAATGGTCAAAATGCCTGCAGATGTGACATACTACTGAGATACTACTGCAATGGTCAAAATGCCTGCAAATGTGACTATACTACTGAGATACTACTGCAATGGTCAAAATGCCTGCAAATGTGACTATACTACTGAGATACTACTGCAAAGGTCAAAATGCCTGCAGATGTGACTACACCACTGAGATACTACTGCAATGGTCAAAATGCCTGCAAATGTGACTATTCTACTGACATACTACTACAATGCTCAAAATGCCTGCAGATGTGACAATACGACTGAGATACTACTACAATGCTCAAAATGCCTGCAAATGTGACTATACTACTGAGATACTACTGCAATGGTCAAAATGCCTGCAAATGTGACTATACTACTGAGATACTACTGCAATGGACAACCCGAGGGCTGCAGTCGCCCACCTTTCAGTGTGTCTACTGGCATGGGGTAGCCATCTTGCATCATCTGCATGGGGTTGAGGAGCAGGTGGGTCCTGTCGAAGTCAGGCGCCGGCGCTGGGATATCTGCAACGGTGATGCCAAGGGACTGTTGTAGCCGCAACTGGGAATTGTGCACCTCATCAATCTGATTCTTCAATTTAATTCTTCCTTCTTGGTCACTCACTAAAGGTCAAGAGAAAACATTTACCAAATTCAAAATATTAAAAGGAACTTCTTTTTTCAGCAAGAAATATAATGTAATTATAAACTATAATCATATGTGGTAATCAACAGTAATTAATGAAAGAATCATGTTTGTATGATGTCATCGTCAGGCAAAAAATGGGTGGGTAACTGGACATGCCATGATGCACAGGCAATGGGTGAGTGAGTGACTTTGGTTTAACGCCGCTTTTAACACCCCTTTTAACAGTATTCCAGTTATATCAGGGCATGTCAGGTTAATGTGGGAGGAAAGCCCAAAGTGATGCAGGTCTCAGATGTTTACCACTTCGGTGAAACCCACGAGCACGGGTATGGTGCTGACAAACCTAGAAACATAATCGGGGCGAACCACATGCAATGATGAGCCAGGCCACCCATGGTGACCACATCAGTCTAGTTTTAGAGCTTGTGTTTTGTTTTTAATGTTAAACGCCACACGCAGCAAAAAACAGCCTGTAAATGACTGAGTCTGGACAAGACAGACCAGTGATTGATGTAACGATTAATGTCCCATGCAATCAGGGTATGAAGACACGCAATCAGCCAATCACACAACCTGACCACCGGATTCAGTAACCTTGTACGACAAGCATAGGCTAGAAGGGACATATTTTAACCCAGAATTCCAACAGTATGCTCTCATGACAAGGATGAGATACATGAGGCCTATTCAGCGCCACAAGGCTAAATCAGGATATAAAAATAACACGATGTAAAGTACCACCAACTCACTGGCTTTAACCTTCATGGTGGCTTTGCTGACAGGCACGTGGAACACGTCCTCCATTACTGAGCCGCCATATTGATAAGGGGAGATCATCTCGGTAAACTGAGAAGCAGAATGCAAATCAAAGATGTAATTAAGCAGTTAATGTTTCTATGACGAGGCTACTATTAACATAAAATCTAATAACTAATATTTCACTAAGAGTAAGACAGTAAGGAAAAATGTACATCTTGAAGGTAAATGGTGTCAAAGGGTTGGTTGGTTGGTTTGTTGTTTAACGCTGCACTCAGCAATATTCAAGCTAAATGACGGCGATCTGTAAATAAACCAGTCTGGACCAAACAATCCAGTGATTGATATCATGAGCATCAATCCACGCAATTGGGATTGATGACATGCATCAACCAAGTCAGTGAGCATGACCACCCGATCCTGTTAGTCGCCTTTTACGACAAGCTTAGTCGCCTTTTACTGCAAGCATTGTTGAAGACCTATTCTACCCGGATCTACCCCGGCCGAAGGGAGGTAACACGTGTTTCGTATGTTTAACTTGTACACAACGGAATCCAAAGGAACCCTGAAGTGAATGAATGAATGAATGAATGAATGAATGAATGAATGAATGAATGAATGAACAGTATTCAGCAATATCACAGCGTGTCAACTTGATGTGGGAGGAAAGTCTGAAGTGATGCAGGTCTTAAACAATTAAAACTCTGGTGAAACAAGTACATGTATGGTGCTAACTACCTAGAAACATAATCAGGGTGAATCTAATCAGATCTATACTCCCAATCATAGGTTTCTAAAACATCTAAGGGATGCAACTTACCACAGTGAATTCCAGTGCATAAAACAACTGGTTCACCCATGCTACCCTAACGCATCCAGAAGTTCAGTGTCTTATATCTGAATTGTTAGTAGCTTGAAGAATGACATTAGTCCCCAATGATCAGGTATTAGATTTTGTTTGTTTGTTGTTTAACGCCGCACTCAGCAATATTCCAGCTATATGACGGTGGTCTGTTAATAATCGAGTCTGGACCGGACAATCCAATGATTGATATCATAAGCATCGATCCACGCAATTGGGATACGCTGACCATGTCAGCGAGCCTGACCACCCGATCACTTCAGCTGCATGGGTTGCTGGAGACATATTCTAAACCTGGATCTTCACGGGTCTCGGAGATCGGAAACTGAGTTCATGATACAGATATTTCGCATAATCTGACTGTTAAAATAATGTAATCAGGAACTAACTATACATCAAAATTCAGTTGAGAATCAGCTTTTTATAGCTGATACTATCATGCTAATAACCAAACAAGGAAAGCATGTTCAAGCTCTGCACATTCTTAAAATGTAAAAAATCCTCACTTTTATACCAACACACATTTGAAAAATTCCAAAGCCATAGTTTTCTTACTATATGAAATGTTTTCTTCATGAAGGGAAAGCACTCTTGGTATTCTTCCAGATCACTGGAGCTAAGTTGGTCTATCACTATGACAACCACTGAGGCCACCTTCCTGGGGCGTGCCAACTTACACCATCTGTAGAAAACAAGCAAAATTAATGGAAAGGACATTTCTTCACATGCTTTAGCAACCCCCGTAATACTCTGCAATAGAAAAAGTGAAACATCCTGAGAATGTTTAACCAGTGAAGCCAAAGACAGCTGACCAGTCCTTGGTTTATCCTTTTTTATGCCGAGCCCAAGGCAAGGAAACAACAAGTACAATATTTTTAAAATTTTGTATGATGGGGCAGGTGATCGAACCACCAACCTTCCGCTGTCCGAGCAGACACTTTATCCACTAGACCACAGTGTTAGTCTAATTGATGGACACAAGCCAGACCAGACAATACATTGATGACAACAAATTCTATGCATTAATGCCGACATACCGCAACTCAGTGTTTGAAAATAAGAATGAAGATCAAAGGGTTCTTGTCATAGCCAGAATGTTAATAATGACAGATTTAGGGGGTACCCTTCATTAAAATACTAATAACAATACTTAAATGACCCCACTTTACTTCTAAGTGTGGCTACTGTCTCAGATTTCTTCACCTTTATAAAGCAAAATAAGAACTAAATTGAATAGCACACCATAATTTGATACAAAGAGAGAATCCTTTTCTGCTCTTGTCTAATGTTGCATACCTTGGATAGTACTTGTATGAGTCAGGTAACAGAGCAAAGGTCAATAAATGTTGCAAATCCAACATGAACAAGGGAGGTAACTCCTCATCTTCTTTACGGGGCACTTGTGTGTTTCCTTGTTGTTCGAGCAACTCCTTGAGTGTGAGATACAAAGCTGGCCGTTCCTGCAGGAGATAATAACATTTTAGAAAGCATTTAGAAGATGTGACATTTCTAATGCAATTCTCCACAATATGAAAGCAATGCAAAAACTGGGAACCAGATCAAAATAGGTCTTGTTTATCCAAAAACGGGCACAACCTACACTATTAGGTTACAACATATTATGGGTGACTTCAATAGTTAACTAAACATCTGGCTTGACTGGAAAATTTCTTGTTACAATGAACTCTCAGCATGGATGTGTAAAATGTCAGTGGGAGACAGTAGCGTACCGCTGTATCTGTCTTGGCAGGTTTGCTCAATCTTCTTCTTTCTTTCACTCTTTGTTTCTTCAGTTGGTGCAACAGCACCTTCCTCGACACTGTTTTCCCTGTGGAATTTGAAAGACAGGTACCATCTTGGACTTTCTTCAATTGTGAATCATCTGATATCTCACCTTCAGTCATCTTTATCTGGAAATAATAATAATAATAATAATAATAATGATAATAATAAATACATTTATAATGTGTCATATTCCATTCACCAAGTGGATGCTCATAGTGCTACACTATCACTACCCTGTCAGTGGATCAGTGTGCACTTGATTTTTATTCTCAGCTCCCTGGGGTGTATACATTTCTGGAGGAGCCAAGCCTTCTGTAGCTAACCAGGCTTAAACTGTTTTTGTATATTAAGGAGTGAATGTGTATGGTATACTACTATTAATTAGTCTAGTAAATTGCCTGATAATCATCATGGTTATGGTCCAAATATTAACATTAAAATCTCAGAGCTACAGATAAGCAGCGTATTTGCATAAAATACCCCCCCAAAATATTCAAAACCCAATTACTTTCAAGTATGAAAAACTCACATGTATAAACAAAGTATGCGTAACTACCCAATAAAAGCTTTTTCACCATGCGTACAACAGAGCTAATTTCTGGAACAAAATTAAATTTGTTTGAAATCTTAAAATGTTCACTCATTTGGGGAAAAACCCAATAGAGTGATGAATACATGTGTGAAAAAATATTGCTTACCCAATTGAAAAATGTAATAACCCAAGTAAAAACTCAATTGGTTAAAAAGTTATCTGGAGCTCTGAATCTACTGATATTGCGCCAAAGGACACTTTTAGTCTAGTAAAGGTGTATCCTGTATCACTGTCTGTGGTTTTCATAGACTGACATTTGCTATTCAATAATGGGCAACACACACTGATTGTCGTTATATCAAGTGTTCAGGTTGTTTTACTGATCATTTCACTGTCCTCCTTTCAAACATGTTGTTATTCTATAATCATTCTTCTAACATGACTGAAAGGAGTGCTGAGCCCTTAGGTAAGTGAGTATTGTTTTAAGACGCTTTTAGCAGTAATTCAGTATCACCGTGATTACATTTACAGTGGGACATACAACTTTACAAGAAATAAGGGGGCCGAAGTTAATCATCTCTAGTCAGTATTATAACTAACAACCATATCGTGTATATTAACGTACACTTAATATAAAATCTAAGGAAATGATTATTGACAAATCATGGTAAACTTGTTAACTATGTTTAAAACTTTATACCCGTTTGCGTTGCACATCTGTCTGGCTGAGTAAATCAATCAGAACTTCGGCTTTACGTTTCTTGTTCGCCAGTCTTTTGTCACGCTTACTCATTCTGACAAAGTCAGATATAACCTTTGAGTTTTCCATAATTCACAAAAGGGGTATAGTCGCTTCATGAAATTACTGTAGAATATCTAAAGCTAGTCACTGCACGAAGATCCATGTGTATGTGTTGATATCGCTGGGCGCTGACATCTTGGATCCTACAAAGTGGTATTTTGGCGAAAAGTTCGATTCTCTTTTTCCTTTACCAACTATTCACCTTGTGTTAGCTCTGTTAACATGCTTACGTTGCAATATAATGTGTTTTAATATTATGCATAGGAATATATTACACTCGCACGATGAAAATATTGTAAGTAAAAAGATGTTCATATTTCGTATCATGTTTTATGTTTTTAATAAAATCAAAGTCTCGCTGGGTGCGAGAATTCAGCAATGGCGGCTAATTTGAGTCCAAACTTTGACTGTGAAACCACTGATATTTGTATTTCAGAACTTACAGTTGTCTAAAACGCTCATGAATGACTTGTGTGCACAGAGATGAAAACAACTAAAGAACTTGCACGGTAATGGTCTCTGCAGTCATTACAATACACAAACTGTTGAAATATACTTATATATAAACATAACATTATTATCAACAGTTCGGGGATAACCGGAGTCTGCAGAGACGACCTGCTGTCTGTCAGGGATTGGCATGTGTTCAGTGCGTGTATAATGACTGCCACACAATTCAAATATGCATGCACTGACGTCTCCACATTTACAAATTCTTTCTCATCCAACAATGACACATTCATGATTCAATAACTAAGGGTTGCATGTTTACATTTTCATACCGTCTCCTCATCATCGTAATCAGTGCCAATGATTTTTTAGTTTACTTGCCCCAAATTGTCACTTAGCCTAATTCTCATTTAAATTGAGTGTTATCTGTGGATTTTTAAGCTGATCTTAATAGACCAACAGAGTTTTGCTCGACTCAGCCTTGGTCCAAATCACAGGTAGGGCTGAGACGAGTCCAAATTTACTACCCCGTACCCACAACCCTATTACCTGACCCTACCCGGGTACCTGCTGTAGGTCTCAAGAGATAGGTACAAAATGTCTGATTGGGAAACGTTTGACCATACTCCTGTCAAAATGTATTCAGATACTCATAAACCGATCTGGTCATGCATTCACTGAAGTTGACTGAAGTTTTATCTTATTGCAAACATGTAAAGTCATAAGGAATTTGTGCATTATCAGAAAGAAATGCGAACATTTGTCACTTACAGTGTAACCATAGAGTTCTAGATAAGTTTTGCCAATAAACAATATAATGACATGACCAACCACAGGTCCAGGTTGTCCTGTGGGTACCCAGGTCCTACTCAGTACCCGAGTACCTGACCCATCCCAGCCCTAATTGCTGTACATTGTAGTTGTCATTGGTAAAGCATCTGTGTCTCAATATTCACAGAATGTCATTTGACAGTCAAAAAGACTGCTTTCATTTCATTGACTGTAAAGACAGTGTCACATCACCTGTTTTCATGGGAACCAAATTTATGGTATTTCGGTACATATACTCTATCACTTGCTAGGCATTATCACTATTGCAAAAGTAAATATCAATAGTTTATTGTGCATTATGACATTTATAAAATCTTTAAATAATCAAACTATTAAATATACCATATTTACCATATTAAGGGCTTTTCTCTTTCCTATAAGCATCCCCTCAACAACTTCTGGACCAATCTGAAAGTAATCTTTTTAAGCACCCCATATTAGAAGGCATATTTCAATGACAGTTCATATTATTTATAAGAAACTGCATCACTGAAGGTACGTAATTGTCAAGTGACTATTATCAAATAAAATTTTATCGTTTGAACGATGTTTGTTCACTACCGAACGATCTATGAAAACAAATCTAAGTTGTGTATGGCTTACCCAAGCCCCGGTGGTGCTTATTATGGACCATCTTTCCTTTGCAGTGAACTGGGACTCCTGAGAAAACGCTATATGCCAAAAGTACAAAATGGAAAAGAAGCCCTAATGAAAAAGCCCAAGTTGTGCACAGGTGATGTGATTTAAGATATGATAAGCTTATGTGATAACTTAACTGTTTCATTGTTTGCTCTCATTTTATGACTAAAACTTAAATCATTCACAATTGTATATGCATTTAAGAAGAAGTTAGATAAACTGTAAACATGAGAGAAAAATAAGTAAGATTGGCAGGTGATATATTCAAAGGTTTTATTCTTTCAGGTCAGGTTTTTACATATCTTGTGGTATTGGATTTTGAATCAACATGTTGGCAAGATGGAAAATTTCGCACCCAAGAAATCAGTAAGATTTTCAGATTCATTTATATCAATATCATGAGTGAGTGAGTTTGGTTTCACGCCGCTTTTAGCAATATTCCAGCAATATCACAGCGGGGGACACTAGAAATGGGCTTCATACATTGTACCCATGAAGGGAATCAAACCCAGGTCCTCGGCATGACAAGCGAACGCTTTAACCACGAGGCTACCCCACCGCCCCTCAGTATCATGATGATCATAGTATACCATTCACACTGACATACAGTGATGTTTTCACTTGTATTGTAATAATTCACATGTGGTTAATGTCCTAAGGCTTAAAAAAAATGAAGTGGATCCGATTACCTATCTGGCCTTTAATTCTTTTAGTGGTACTGTTTTGTGACAAAACAAATGCCACAAATGAAATACATTCCAAACCCTGCCTACCTTAAGCATTTTTCCAGCACAGTTGCAGATTCATTGAATAAGAAGAAGTCTATCTTCCGATCCCTTTTTAAGTTAAGTGTAATGAGAACCACAACATAATTTATAATTGTTCTTATCAATACTATAATGCAATCGTCATGATAATATAGCTGCATACTGTAGGTAAGATGGCTGGAATAACTTGACATGGATAGCTTGATGAAAAGCCAGTTCAACATGGTTCAGTTGAAAAAGAATTGGACAATGTTGACACCTAGTGTTACTTGAAATATTGTGGCACGTGGTCATGTGTACAGTGTACAGGTAACAAATCAGGTAACGTTAAAAAAACGTTGGTCGTGGAGAGTTGATGGATGGGTGACTACTTTGGGCAGCGTGACATGTGAGTTTCTAGGGCTTTCGTCCTGCCCCACACTGAAGCACATGTCATGTGATTTCTCCTTAGGCAAGTGACTTTGTTTGAAATATGCCTCTGTTCACCCAGCAGTGGATGGGTACCAGGTAGGATGAGATGCTGATGTGACTGTGAACCTTCTGGTTGTCAGTTGGTAATTGATTAGATTTCGCTGTCATGATGTTGATCAATTTTGAGTGTTTTTTTTCCAAAATCAATGTTGACCTTTCATAAATGAGTTTAAGTTGAGCAATAAAAACTCACTTGATTTTGATTATGAACAATATTGGATGATATGCATACAATTGTTTGTATTCTTCCAGTTGAGTTTCCAGCAGTGCTGTGTAACACGAGGACGGGGCAGATAGAGAGTGAGTTTCACCACTATGTTCAGCCTCAAGAACAGCCAGTACTCAGCGACTTTTGTAAACAGCTCACTGGAATTACCCAGGTAGGTGGGGATTGGCCATGTCCCATTCTTGTAGATGCTGAAGCGGAATAGGTCACGGATACCCAGTGTTTACAAGAAATTGTCAGAAGTGAACGACGTGAACTGATGTTTTTGTTTTTAAAGTGACCAGCAGAGAGACCTTAATTTTCTGAGAATATGACTGCTTGGCATCAAATGATGTTTGATGGTTAAAAGTCATGTCTTTGATTTCCTACATGGGTACAGTGAAACCCATCCTTTGGGATGACGTCATCATTTGACCAGAATATTGTTAAAAGCTGTGTAACTTCTTGCTGAAAGTAATATTCAAACAAGTTCCTTACTGTTAGAGTAGTAACAGCTAAAGTGTGGGGTGAGTGAGTGAGTTAGGTTAATGCTGCTTTTAACAGTATTCCAGTTAAATCACGGTGTGTCAGCTTAATGTGGGAGGAAAGCCCAAAGTGATGCAGGTCTCAGACGTTGACCACTTCGGTGAAACCCATGAGCATGGGTATGATGCTGACAAACCTAGAAACATAATCGGGCGAACTGTGATACGAACCCACAATCATAGGTTTCTGGCGTTCCCAAGGGATGCAACTCTGCACAGCGATTCGCATCGCCTTAGATGACTGTGCATACTGTGCCCCTATTGTGAATGAAGAAGTTGCTTGTTTATGGTGCTACTTATTTACAGCTAAAAGTGTGATGAGATATTGAACATGCTCAAGAAAAATGACTTTATATCAGAAATCACATATACAAATAATTACTCTTGATGAGGTCAATATGCAGTAAGGACCTGACGACCCAACCACTGAGGTGGTCTAATCAGACGAAGGCAGCAGGCCGAGGTCCAGTCAGACTGCCGAATTGGCCGGGTCCAAGGGTCCTTCTTTTCGCATATTGACCTCTTCAAAAATAAACATTCGTTTCGTATACCAAAATTCACTTTGAAGTTTATGAAGCATTTAAACCATCCTCTGTTTCATTACATTAATTTAGCTGTGAACTGTAAAAGAAAATGTTGGTATATCAGACGCTGTCTTGTTTGCTAGCAGACGAGAGTCAATATTCATCACATTACAGGTCAATACTGATCATGTGACTAGTCAATAATGGGGGTTAGTGTCAGTCACATGATTTGGGGGTGTATATTGAAATGTATTGTTTTTCACTTGATACAGATGAACCAATGGAATTTCACAATTATTAATGGAGATATAACAAACATCAATCTCATTAAAATCAGATCTTAGTTCTCGCTATCGCTAAACAAAGATCTGAGGACATCCCATTACGGGTCACGTCAGAACGACCTTTCATCCAACAAGTCAAAGCGTCGCTTACCAGATCATGAAAGTGTCAGTCGGAATGTGTTTTCTAATCATGCAACCTTGAAAACGTTAACATGGTGTATTCCGAACAACAATTACAGCCCATACGACTGATTCTGTCAAAGTTATCGTCTATCTCTTGCTTCCGAGGGATAAACATTTGAACGGAGGAGGTGTTGCACAGTACGTGGGAAGCACTGCCATACAATCGCAACCATATATGAGACATTTCGGAATGTTCGTTTGTTCAGTTTTCCAAATTTTAATCGAGAACTGTGTCAACATATTTTTCAAGCGTAGTCTGAAATGGAAGTCGCCAGGTTGAAAGGAGTGCCGTAAATTTAGAGAAAGTTGCTTTCTAATTGGCTGATGTCGACTTCTTGTTAGTCCTTTCAGTGGATGTCGTTCTGATGTGACCCGTAATCGGATGTCCTCAGATCTTTGTTTAGCGGCAGCGAGTACTTAGATCTGATTTTACTGAGATTGACCAAACATAAATGGGTCATGGCTGTGGTGTTTTATCATCTGCCTGTGTTTTGCCAGGAGCAAGTGGAACAAGGGATCCCTCTGTTTCTGTGTCTACGTAAGTTCTGTCACTGGTTGAACAAGATTAAGCAGGAGAAGAATATTGTCTTCTCTGAAGGGGAGGAAGGGTCCAGAGCCACCTTTGTCACATGGTCAGGTTAGTACAAGTCTTGCTCCACACTTGAACACAGGTTATGAGGTATGAGACATATGCTTAGGCGAATCATTTAGGTGACGTTAAAAATTTGCATCTGTTCACCCAGAGGTGAATGGATACCCGGTTGGTTGTTATGGTGACTTGAGAGCATACCTTCTGGCACTATGAGTTGTACACTGCCCAGGAGCTGAGCATGTAATTTGAATGTTCGCTGGGATACTATATGATATTTATGTTGTAAGAGATTGAATGGTCTCAATGCCTGCAGAATGTGAATAAGTATGAGGACTACAGTATAAGCATGATAAGTACCACTCATGGGTATGAGCTGTTGGTGTGAATTGGCTCTCACACTATCGACCACTGGTTTATCTGATCCTGGCCTGATTTCAGGCTACCATGTTGTGGTTTCCATCAGTAGCATTGCTTACCTTTTCATTGAATCTTATTCCTCGTTTAATTTTGACACAAGTCACATAACAGGTTTGTGAAATAGGCTACTCCTGAACTGAGATTTAGAAATCGACCACAATTTCCCCTGAACTTTGAACTGTCATGCTAAAGTTATGACATGAAGCTGTTGATATTCATTCTACATTTTAAACATTGCGCCAGACTTTCCTGTAACATACACTGACAAGCTGTGATATGCTAGAAACTGAGCTAATTCATTTAGCTTTGTGTGTTTTTAAAATGATGAAAGATAAAGAAGGATTTGATGGTAAATACATTTCTGAAGTTAAGAATTAAAAGTTTTGACTGTAATAAGCTTGAAAAGATATTCTACTGTGTTGAAGTATACTGGTATAAGTTTTTTCAACTTTCAGATTGGGATCTTGGTGTGTGTCTACTGTATGAGGCTCGTCGGAAACAACTCTCCAGACCCCCAGAGATGAACAGTTGGATTGATCTGAGGGCGACATACAGGGTAGGGGATCGGGTGTTCCTTACCTGTGCCAGGATCCAATAATTGTTAGATCGAATCACACATTCACCCCGATTATGATCTTTGGCTTCATGCCTGTGCGTGTCTTAACAAGAACACAAACTAAGTGGAATACAGTAATGTCACAAACAGTAGTGTCACAAATAAGAGGAAATTATGTTTCTTTAACTGAAAAATTTTCATTTTTACATCTACATGAGACTATTAAGAGCTACCTCCTTTAAATCTCCAATACGTTCCATAGCTGTTAACTGGACCTATGAAATGGAGGACATGTTACAGTAGCATGGTTAGGCAAGGCATGTTAGGCTTGACATGGTACAAGTGTATAGAAAAAGGCATGTGAAATATGCATTGTTGCAAGATAATTATAGTCAGAATGCCACTGCAATAGTTAAAATGCTCCCTGTAGTCATCCCGCAGCTGACAGTCCATTTTCTTGTTGTAAATGTGGAATGTGTTTATCAGGTGTCAGTACTTATTGCTTATGGTCTTAAAAGAGGGACTGTGCTCCATGTTCTGGTGCCCATTTCCAGTCAAGGTCCAGGGCATGGTGCCCACTCCCTTTCAAGGTCCATGTTCTGGTGCCCACTTCCAGTCAAGGTCTAGGCATTGGTGCCCTCTTCCTGTCAAGGTCCATGTTCTGGTGCCCACTTCCAGTCAAGGTCTATTGTATGGTGCCCTCTTCCTGTCAAGGTCTATTGTATGGTGTCCTCTTCCTGTCAAGGTCTATTGTATGGTGTCCTCTTCCTGTCAAGGTCTATTGTATGGTGTCCTCTTCCTTTCAAGGTCTATTGTATGGTGCCCTCTTCTTGTCAAGGTCTAGTGTATGGTGCCCTCTTCCAGTCAAGGTCTATTGTATGGTGCCCTCTTCCTGTCAAGGTCTATTGTATGGTGTCCTCTTCCTGTCAAGGTCTATTGTATGATGCCCTCTTCCTTTCAAGGTCTATTGTATGGTGCCCTCTTCATGTCAAGGTCTATTGTATGGTGCCCTCTTCCTGTCAAGGTCTATTGTATGGTGCCCTCTTCCTGTCAAGGTCTATTGTATGGTGCCCTCTTCCTGTTAAGGTCTATTGTATGGTGTCCTCTTCATGTCAAGGTCTATTGTATGGTGCCCTCTTCCTGTCAAGGTCTAGTGTATGGTGCCCTCTTCATGTCAAGGTCTATTGTATGGTGCCCTCTTCCTGTCAAGGTCTATTGTATGGTGCCCTCTTCCAGTCAAGGTCTATTGTATGGTGCCCTCTTCCAGTCAAGGTCTATTGTATGGTGCCCTCTTCCTGTTAAGGTCTATTGTATGGTGGTGTGGGGCGGTCGGGTTGCCTAGTGGTTTAAGCGTTCGCTCGTCACGCCAAAGACCCGGGTTCGATTCCCGACATGGGTACAATGTGCGAAGCCTTCTGGTGTCCCCCGCCATGATATTGCTGGAATATTGCTAAGAGCGGCGTAAAACCATATTCACTCACTCACTCACTATTGCATGGTGCCTTCTTCCAGTCAAGGTCTATTGTATGGTGCCCACTTCCTGTCAAGGTCCATGTTCTGGTGCCCACTTCCAGTCAAGGTCCATGTTCTAGTGCCCACTTCCAGTCAAGGTCCATGTTCTGGTGTCCACTTCCTGTCAAGGTCTATTGTATGGTGCCCTCTTCCAGTCAAGGTGGGGCAGTCGGGTAGCCTAGTGGTTTAAGCATTCGCTCATCACCCCGAAGACCCGGGTTTGATTCCCGACATGTTCTGGTGCCCACTTCCTGTCAAGGTCCATGTTCTGGTGTCCACTTCCTGTCAAGGTCCATGTTTTGGTGCCCTCTTCCAGTCAAGGTCCATGTTCTGGTGTCCACTTCCTGTCAAGGTCCATGTTCTGCTGTCCACTTCCTGTCAAGGTCCATGTTCTGGTGCCCACGTCCTGTCAAGGTCCATGTAGTGGTGCCCACTTCCTGCCAAGGTCTAGGTGTTGTTAGATTGACACATTGTCTCATGTATAAACAGGTAGTCTTTGACTGTTGGAGAGACCTACATCAGAATATTTGAGATAACAGATGATACACTGTCTTGGGGGTCAGTGATGATATGGAGGGTCTTAAAAGCCATTGTACCATGTTTACCTTTATTTTTTAAGCGTGTGTTTCTTTGAAATCAAATAATGAAAGTGAATCATCAATAAATGATGATGTAAATGGTTTTCCATTTTTAGAAATTCTATGGGCGGAAGCCTCATGGTTTAAATGGAGCTCTGCAGGCTGTTGGTATTGAGTTTGAAGGACGTGAACATTCAGGTAAGCAATTGACACGGATTAACATTTAATACCTCATCCTTGCTTGTATACCACTACTGGTGTCACTGCCATGTTGTTTTAATTTTAAGAGTTATGACCTCAGTGCTTTTGGACATCTCTTTTATTTTTAACTTTAAGTGTGGTGACCTATACTTTTCACTTAAAACTGAATTTTGAGATTAATTACGAATGATTCCTTACAATTCCTGACAATTCCTGACTTGAATTAAAATCAAAGCCAAGAGAATGTGTAAACTTTCTTTAGAGAGAAGCCAGTGAGTGCTCAGTTTACATCGCACAAACAACAATGTTTCTTGTGTGACATTTGCAACTTGGGCCATAACCTTGTGGTTGCCTGCTCTATACAGTACTTTAGTGCCAGGCAATGGTACATCTCACACTAAGTTCAGGTGTGGAGTTGGGATTAAGTAAGGACCCAATTCCATTTGTGAACATGGTTAATACTGGCCTCATAGCTACCCATTGAGATTACGGGATTCCCCAGCAACCTGCTTGTCATAAGTGGCCACAAAACGGCTCGCTGACTTGGTTGATGCATGTCATTGTATCCCAGTTGCATAGATCGATGCTCAGTATGTCAATCACTAGATTGATTACATTGTTTGATTATTTTCTGACCATCATGTAGCTAGAATAATGCTTAGTGCAGTGTTAAACAACAAGCAAACAAACACACTAACATCATTTCAATTAGCTTACTAAAAATAGACATGTGTCACTACTTCACTGATCCAGGTTAAAATAAGTCTTCAGCAACCCATGCTTGTCGCAAGAGGTGACTGATAGGATTGGGTGGTCTGGCTCGCTGACTTGATTGATGCATGTCATTGTATCCCAATTGCGTAGATTGATGCTCATGATGCCAATCACTAGATTGTCAGATTTGATTATTTACAGACTGACGTCAAATAGCTGGAATATTGCAGAGTATGGCGTTAACAACAAACATAAAAAACAAACAAACAAACAAACACTACCACATCGCACAGCGGTTTAATGTATTCAAGGGCAACGGAGAAATGCAGTGTATACAAACCTGTCCTGTATTGATGATGCATTGCTTGTGTATGACAAAGCAATATTTACTCCCTACCTCTAGACAAGAGGCTATTTCTGAAGTGTTACACAGGTAGACACATGATAGATAACTTGTATTCCAGGTGTGGATGATGCCCGCAACACAGCTCGTTTGGCCTGGAGGATGATGAGAGATGGCTGTATCATGAACGTCACCAAGAACATCGGAATGGTACGCAGATAGACACTCATTACAGTCGATCAAAACAAGGGTCACTTGCAATATGTTTTATATGTGTACTTGTAGATGTCTGTGATGATAATGTGGATTGTGTGTACTAATCTACTTGATTACGGACATGAAAATGAGACAAATTCATAACCAGTTTGTCCATGTTTTAATGTGTCGTATTTACTTTTATTGTATTTTATGGTTGATTTTTTGTACTGGATTTTAAATTATATTAAAACAATCTGATTTGTGACTATAAGTGTCTGTTCTTTGTTATAAGGCAGCATCTGGTCAGGATGACCAACAGACTGTTGAGGGGGATGGAACAATAAAGCGAGGACACAGGTCACACATCTCTCCCACTATCACCGTGTCCACAGGTCAAAGTTCTAAACGACCAAGCTCTGTTCCTTTCAAGCAAAGTGGAAAACTTCTTCAGACAAAACTTCAAATAGTCAACCAGAGATCTGATGGAAAGGAGAAAACATTTGTGGTTCCAGTGAGTTTAAATACTCGTCAAAGCTCTGTGGGACTGAGTGTTCGAGATACCAATATTAGGCGTGATTTTAAACAGGAGGATAAAAAGTGTGTCAGAGATTTGAAGAGTGGCAGGACGACCTGTTCAGTGTCAAGTCAAGGAAAGAAACTGGAGTCTGATCATTGTATGGATACTAAGGTGTCCAGTGTTGTTACACCATGCATAAATCGTTCCAAGACGGCTTTGAGAAACAGCTGCTCGAGAACTCAGAATCATTGTCCTACTGTTCATGGAAGCTTCAAGCCACCAAATCAAAGTGCTGTGACTCCAGGACAGACGGGTCTAAGCTCTGCTTCCACATCTGAAGTTGTGTTGAGAAGTGTTTTCAAAACTCCAAATCAGAGGATGAACCATAGTGGTGAAAGCTTGAGTCGTGGAGTAATGGCACCATATCAAAATACTTCAAACACTGTTTTCAAAACACCAAGTCCTGGGCAAGGCAGGTTATCACTTCCTGGGTCCAACTGTTCAAGCAGCATGAAAGCTACCCCACCGATGTGTAAATGTGGTCGACGTTCAAAACGACGTTTGGTTCAGTCACCGGGCCCTAACATTGGTCGGTTCTTCTTCACATGTGGTGTGCGTACTTCTCAATATGATGCTAGGAGAGGATGCGAGTTCTTCCAGTGGGAAAGTTCATCTGCAGGGGGAGGTAACTCCAGACATGTCTCAAAGACAGGAAGTAGTTGTGGTGTGTCCAGACCATTTACTCCTGTCACACCAGTAGGTGTGAGACCACAGTCTCAGCGGGGGATCAGATCAGCTGTTCCTAAGTTTATTCGATAGAACAATCAGGTTGACCCATCTTAAAAAGTCCAATTTCCACCCTTGCCGAACTAGGCTGGAATTCCTGGGCTCGATCATAGCGCCACCAGTGGCTATAACCAGTTATGTCCCTTCTAAACCTGTCCTATGGACCAATCAGATTCCACCCCTCGTATCACTTGCGTTTGCTTCACACAAAATGGTGGCGCCCAGTCAGGACGATCTGATCGATTATCAAGTTCTATATCGTGATAAAAGGGGTCTTACATCGCGAAATGCATCAAATCACGTGAGCACCTTGATTAAAAACATTGAAAAGATTTGGAAAATATCTGCTGACAACGAGTTGGCGGTGTACATGCTTTGCAAATCCTGCAATCGACAGAAATCTGTACGACAGTTTACTCTCTTGCCTCGGGAAGATGAGGTTGCCCATGATTACCTTGTGTTGATTCCAGGGCAGAATATGTCAACAGCTGACTAACATGAGGATCACATGGTCATAATGCTGCAGATTTTGGAAGATGTGGTTCCTGCTATCAATGCATCCCACAACCCACCGAAATATGTGTGTTTCCTAATTCTAAAATCTAAATATAGGGTAGGTAGGTCATTTTGTTTGCTTTCTAAACTGTAATTTTGAAAAGTGGTAATTTGCATTATGTCATTAAAATAACCCTGATTAAACAGGTTTTGGATCCAGGCTCCTGATTAGGATTGATCGGAAACAGTAATCATATACTGTATTCGACGTAGTAAGCGCCCAGCTCTAATAAGCGCCCACGGCGATATTTGCTAATATATTGGCTTGTGAACAATCCCAATTAGCACCCCTTCCGATTGATCAATATACACAAGACTTATTTATTCATGTATAATACGCTCTCGTGTGTTATATGCACCCTTAATTATGGGCAATTAAATTCTGGAAAAATATATCTGTCGTGTTTAATACGCACAGACTTTTCTTTAGTATCATTTCAGGCTGTCAGCTGAAACCATGAAATTTACAATCTTTCAACTCTGTTTTTTTTCATCAAATTTTCATTCTAATAAGAGCCTCCTATTTCTAATTTTGAGAGTGCCCTGGGCGCTTATTACGCCGAATACGGTATTTAGTTTCTGTAGCCTCAATCTGTTTCTTCAGTCAGTTCTCGATTTAGCTATGACATCATGCACCAGTGCAGAGACCATATACCGGTATACTGTGCTCCATATACATGCATGTTGAGAGTATGAAGTATCATTATGTATGCATCATTGGTAATTGGTTATTTTGTTGGTGTGGGAGAGATATATATGCATTGTTGCTTAAAAATCCAAATGGAAACGTTTTGATCGACTGTCCAATTTTAGATTAGTTCCATGGTTGATCCTGTGTTTAATTTTATTTAAGATAAAAATGGTGTGATCAGGACAATAATTTTTTATAATTCATTAGTACACTTATTTGATATTAAGTATTTTATAAAAAAAACACAAGGAAAATGGAATATTAATGTATGGAAAATGATGAATCTTTCTTGGGTATATTTTAGATCATCTGGCTGAAAGTCATTTGAGCTTATATTCATAAGCACTGGCCATGATCTGGCGGTCTGTTTGTTTGTCATTAATTTTTCGTGTTTTCAAAATCTCCTCTGAAGCTGCAAGGTCTTTGAAGCTGAATCTAGGAAGTATAAATGTCTCGAAAACCTGCACAAAGAACTTGTATTCAATTTTTAAACATGTCCGCCGTGGCAGCTGTGAATATTGAAAATATCATTTGACACATTACTTTGGCATTTCAACATGTATCATTATTAAAATGAATAACATAACATACAATATGAATAACATAACATATAATATAAATATTGGCTTTTATTTATTGTTGAACCAGCTTCAACTGTTGACCTTCACTTACCCGTTTGTCCTGTGTATCTGCAGTTTCAACATCTCCTCTAAAACGTCTTGGTTTTTGTGTCGTTATGAAATTTAATATGAAGTAAGTTGTCATATGTGAATAGCATATTACCTAACTAGTGTTTTATGTGCATAGTTGGAATTTAGTCCCAGACAGGACCTTTGACCTTTGAAATGTTCACATAATCCTGTCAACTTTTACCACATTTTCCACATCTCCTCTGACAGTTCTGGGTTTATGAAGCTCAATCTCATTAAAATCAGATTGTTTCTTTCAAAAATTCCATTGCAGTCATGATGAACTTGCAATCCCTGAACCATCTTATTTTTCCTTCCACCCAGCCCTTAATATAATGAATGCTGTAGTCTTAAATGAAACAAGTCCATATTTTCCACTGGTTCTGAATCTCCCATCTTACCAGGGCTCCTTTTTAATTTAAATGGAGTTATTTTCAGAGATTAAGTGTCAGTCTACATTGACCATCTGCATAGCCAGTTATGGAAATGTCATATAATGATCATGGTGTGAGGTGTCTGTTTTGTAGACTTCTGTTATTTCTATTGCTTATCCTTCTTTTACCCTCTGCCACCTTTTTGATTGTTAGACTGCCTCCGTGGTCTTGTGGTAGAGCATTTGAGAGAGTTCGATCCCCGGCTGCGTCATACCAAAAGACATTAAAAGATGGTACTTGTTGTTACCCTGTCTGGCGCTCGGCATTAAGGGGCTAAATCAAGGACTGGTCAGTATACTGTGTCTGAGTGGGATATTCATGTTAAACTGCGGCATGGTATCTCAGTGAGCTAGCACTATAAATCGGCATCAGTCCGGACTAGTACAAGCAGCCACACACACACGTGCATGCACGTCGTTATATAAGTGCAATAATCTTGGATGCAACGTTAAACCCAATTTCACCTCACCTTCTGATTGTTATGTTATAGAAACTTTGGGTGAGCTACAGAACCCTGTTGCTCCATGTTATTACATATATTTGATCATGTTGATTGTAGAAGGCCGTTTTGGGGAGGTCAGATATATATGTTTTCTGTTGATTCATGTTTTGTTTATTTTGCTGTACCCTGTATCATATATACAGTTATATGAAGACAATAGCCAGTAACGTAAAATGCCCCCAAAACAACTTGATATCCTTGCAGGAAAACATGCTTTATTGTTAAATATAAAAAGACATTTCTAAAAAGTACATCAGGGTAATCTATTTAACCCATCGTCATTGTACATTATGATTAAACACTTTGTCTCTTAAAAAATATACCTATTTCATATACATACAAAATCACAGATTTCATGTTATCATCATGATCATTCTCACCCCAAATGTTACAGCATATATAGCATCAAAAGATACAAAGGATTTTAATGTAAGCTAGAAGTCTAACTTGTCACCGGCGTGGATATGTCGTCTTTTCTCCCATAGTCTCTGCTTGGAGGAGCTGCTTGTGAAGCACCAGGAGGTATGTCCTGAGGTTGTCCCTCTACTGATGCTCTCTGAAGGTGGCTCTGTAGTCACGATATAGTACCCTGTGTATCCACTCCACATGGCTGGCTGTCAGGGTGTACACACCCGGTCTCAGGGGCGTTGCACAGCCTGAACCACCCGCATCACCAAAGGATGTGGTTCCTGGAAATGGATAGATTGAGTGAGACTTGATACAGAAATCTTGGCTTGCAACCTTTGTTGACTGATATAGCGATGTTTTAGATCTGTTTCTGGCTCTGAAGATATCAAGATAGATAGCAGTCCAGCTCTGATTTACATTAATAATCTTTTTCAACATATTCAAGAAGCAAAAAAACTATATCATACCCGAAGCTTTATGCCTGGGATAATACACATACACAGTTTCCTAATGGTACTTGAACTAATGTTTTCAGTTTGTACACTAGAGTACACAATGGAGGGCCAACAAAGTCAAGGCAAAGTAGTGCCAAATGGCACAATAGTAAAACAATGTAACATGTTGAATTGCGTATGCTTCATGCTTGCGTGACCACATGTCACCACTTCATGTAGAAACAAAGAAATGGCTGTGAGAGAAAAAATATTCAAAAGAGTAGAAACTCTGCAGACTTTAAAAGTCTGTTCAGACTCTGTTATTTACTGGTCGAATAGACATAATACTCTTGGTAATCGAGGATGTGTAACGGTGCACCGGAGACTGGTATAATCTAACACTCACCGGCCATCACCCATCTGTTTTTGATCTGGCACTGAAGGGGTCCTCCACTGTCCCCCTACAAACACACACACCATCAGCGACAGTTGAGTAATACCCTGCATCACAGATTAATACACAGTTTCCATATACCAATGCCCAACTTATGATACTTGGTCTTTTAGTTTGATATCAAAGTGTTAGTTGCGCCCAAAATTTGTCACCTTGACTCTGCTTTATGTGAGGGAATCCAACAGTCAAGACAATACCCTGTTTATGTGAAGGAATCCAACAGTCCAGACAATACCCTGTTTATGTGAAGGAATCCAACAGTCAAGACAATACCCTGCTTTGTGGGAGGAAGTCCAACAGTCAAGACAATACCCTGTTTATGTGAGGGAATCCAACAGTCAAGACGTATGTATGATAGTTGCTTACGTGACAAGTGTCGACCCCGCCCTCCCTGTATCCCGCACAGATTGTGTCTTCCGTGACCAGCTCCTTGTATCCAGGCAGCTCGCTGCAGTCAGAGTAGCTGTACACTGGCACCACGGCCTCCTTCAGGGCCCCAGGGGGTCCAGACGCTGGAATAGTAACCTTAGTAATTACGTACATATTGTGCTGACCACACAGATTCATTATTGTAATGTAACCTAGTGTTGTTCTGAGCTCGGCCCCTTCCATACTAGGAGTGTATGATCCTTGGTCTGTTAGTTGTGAGTGCTAAATGTCTAAATGTAAAATAGTCCCGTCTATTCCAAGCGTATATTTATAGAAAGGTTGGTTAAAGATGTGAAATAATTGACAAAAACCTGTCCATTTCTAAAAACCAATGGAGCGTTTAGACAATAGGATGACGTCACACATGTGCTTTGACCATGATGAAACACGCACGTGTTATAGACCCCCAGCCAGTGATGACGCACTTCTGTCCAGTGCTCGGAATGTCATCGTTGTTGGGAAGACACAGAGGCCTTGTCCACGTGTTCATGGTCACGGGACGCTCCAGCTTGAGCAAGACGAGATCTTTTCCTGGTAGAAGAGTGTCGTTGACGTCGAAGCCAGGAGGGGTGAAGATGTTGATGAGTTTGATGTTTTGTTGGGTCGGCTCTGTCTTTGCTCCCGGCGTTGGGTCGAATTTTCCAAGGCGTGCCTCCCACAGTGACAGGTTGCTGAACACAGGCCACCTGTGAGGGTGATTTTGAAAGTGTTGAGTTATTTCAATATGTTCAATGCGGGGAACACTAAGAATGTGCTTCATGTAGGGACCCACCATTCAATATTGTAATGAGATCAGGGAGCCAGGATCCTCATACTTTACCTGGCACGCTGTTGTATAATCGAAATACCGATAAAAGCCATTTAATAAATAATTCACTGTAATCAAGAGATGGCTAATACTTTGTTTTCATAGACATCCTGACGTTTTTATTAAGTTATTTCTTTTTTAAAAACATTTTTGACAAGCAATGTTCATCAATTAGGATAGCATATTGAGTATTGTTTTGTTAAACCATAAATAGTTCTTTACGGAAGCTAAACCACCTATAAACATGCACATGGACCTCAAGCTGATGTTGGTCTGTTGAGGACACTTGGTGTGAAAACGGCATGTGTGAATACAAAGTCTAAGACATGTTTACTTACCCATAGAAACAATGGCCTGCAGAAAGAACCCACTGCTTGTCCAGCAGTACCCCGCCACACCAGTGCTGTTCGGCAAACTTGAGAGAAACCTGAACACAGGAGTGAGTGCGTGAGTTGGGTTTAACGCCGCTTTTAATAGTATTCCAGTTATATCACGTGATGCAGGTCTCTGACGTTTACTACTTTGGTAAAACCCACGAGCACGGGTAGTGTGCTGACAAACCTAGAAACATAATTGGGGCGAAACGGGATTCGAACCCACGATGATAGGTTTCGTTTTAAATGACGTAATCCCAGGAATCTGTCATTGAAATCTCATTAGAATCGGACCTTAGTGCCCTCTGCCGCTACACACAACACTAACATCTGATTTTAATGATATTGCTGTAATTTGAACGCACGATGAGCGGATCTTGGCACGACTAAGGGATGCAACTCTGCCCAGTGACTTACGACACCTTCTACCACTGGGCTACCCCCATCCACAGAAGAAGAAAGCGTTTGAATAAGTGGCCGAGTCCGCTATTTTTTGTGAAATAGCTGATTCATAAATAGTTCTAACAGTGTCTGACGATTTTGTGTATTGTATGTTTTTCCAATGGTAAAATTTTCCCAGAATACACGGATGAGCTTTTGCAGGTGACAAAATTCTGCGTTTCTGAGATAAATCAAAGCATTAGAAGATAAAGAAAGTGAGTTTTGAATTCATCAGTTTCAGAGAGATGGAACTGGTGACGTCACTTCTGAAGCAGAACTATGGTTGCGAATGGGGTATATAATAATATAAAGGGGATACAAGAAAATGGTGGCGCGGAGCCCCGTCTTTGAATAATTCTAGGCTATGAATAATCGTTTGATTTGTAAATTTCGTAAAGAAACTTGCCGTCATCCGTTAAAATGAAATACTTATACATGACTTAAAAAAAACAAAAAAAACAAGACAATCCACGTGGTCGTATCGGTGATGTCGGAAACAGAAATTCAAATTGACAAACGAAGAAAGTAATTTAGCAGCGATAAGTGTATTCGGCGTCACGACAGTCGTCACTTGTTTGTAAACATAACGGTCATTCGGTTGCGAGTTCAACTCCAAGTATGGTTGTGGCCACCTATTCACAGTGGGAAGTTATGACTGGTGGCAGCGATAGTATAGAGAGCTCCACGAACGGGCTATCGCTGTGAGGAGCTTGCGTCAGAAACTTATGAGGGTTTGAATCCAAATTCGACCCGATTATATTTCTAGGTTTGTCAGCACCATACCCGTGATCGTGGGTTTCACCGAAGTGGTAAACGTCTGAGACCTGCATTACTTCGGGCTTTCCTCCCACATTAAGCTCCCACACCGCGATATAACTGGAATACTGTTAAAAGCGTCGTTAAACCCAGCTCACTCACTCATCCTCACAACTGATGCATCTCAATCTGCAGTAGGGTACATTTTAGGCCATAGAAGTATCTTCCTGTTCTGTTTTTAGGAACAAACAATGTTGATTGGTAACGTTTCGTTTGCTTGTAAGGGTATATTATGCATAATGGTCATTTCCCATCACCGTAAGCAACTGCTATGGCCCCTTGAAATGGAAGATTTGAAGTGATTATTAAAACAATAGGGTAACAGGCATACTGTCGCTCTGTCAAAGATTATGGCTTTGATCAAGAAATATTCTGTATTGATGAGGATGCCCCCCTCCCCCCCCCCCCCCCCCCACACACACTTACCCCTCACCACCCACCCCACCCAAATCAAATGGTCTGCCCCTTACTCGTTCCTGTATTAGTATTTTACTCACCATCCAAGGCCAGCTACCCGGTATGGCATTATTTCCCCCAATAATTCTCGGCATCTTCAACCTTGGTTCTACATCAGGAATGCCACACTCCCCAACATCGTCTTGTAGCCATGCTTTGTACCACGTCCGGAAGTCAACTGGGCGTTGGCTCTCCTTAGGTGGAACATCAGTCGGGCTCTGGCCCTTGCTAGGCCAGTGGTGCCACCTGGATAGGAGCGAGTAGAGGGTGTTGTGAGAGAGGACGTGCCAGTGAGGATGGGCACGTCCAAGCCAGGACGCCATCTGGTGGAGTCGGAAGGTGGACAACCCCGCTGTGAGCAGGTGGCTCCTTGGGAGATTTGATAGAGCGTTTCTGAGAATGGCAGCATCTTCGTCACTACTGTCACGTGAGGGAGTGTCTGGAATGAAATCAGCTGAGTACATTGTTATATATAGCATTTTGATTGCAGCGGTTCAAACTTAATTTATTTTGTTTAAGTGAAGATGTGTGTGTTTAGGTATTAAACACATCATAGACATGTTTAGCTCTATAGGTATTGAGTGAGTGAGTATGGTTTTAGCAATATTTCAACAATGTCCTGCATTCACTCGTTGTACCCATATGGAGAATTAAACCAGGATCTTTGGCGTGACGAGCAAACCATTTATCCACCAGGCTACTCCACCTCAATGTATGTGTGGCTGATTGTGTTAAGATCCATGTTTCCAAGACAAGAGAGTTAACTGACTATAAAAGTCCAGTTTCTACCGTTGCTGAACCAGCTGGTATTATGGAGTTACATTTTGGCTGGACTAACGAGTCTATGCACAGTTCAATCAAAATCATGCAACAAAAATCGAAATCCGGATTGTTAACTGTAGTGCGGATTTCGGTCGACTGCAGGATTTGCAAAGCATGTGCACCGCCAACTCATTATCAATAGATATTTTCCAAATCTTTTCATATTTTCGTCAAGGTGATCACGTGATTTGATTTCTTTCGCGATGTAAAAACCGTTTTATCACAATATAGATCTTGATCATCATCAGATCGTCATGACTGGGCGCCGCAATTTTGTTAAAAGCAAATGCAAGTGATACGAGAGGTGGAATTTGATTGGTCCAAAGGACAGGCTTAGAAGGGACGTAACTCGTAATAGCCCTTGATGGCGCTAGATCCAGTCGAGGAATTCCTGCCCAGTTTGGCAAGGGTGGAAACTGGACTTCTAAAGATGGTTAAAATCCTAATCAGAACAAATATTTTATCTAGACTACAAAATGTCAGTACATGCCCTGGATATACTGTACCAGTCAATCCAGTGATTGATATCATGAGCATCGATCTACGCAATTGGGACATGATGACATGCATCAAACAGGTCAGCGAGCCTGATCACCCGATCCTGTTAGTCGCCCCTTACCACAAGTATGGTCGCCTTTTACGGCAAGCATGTTTTGCTGAAGACCTATTCTAACCCGGGTTTTTTTCAACCGCTAAATGCTGGCGATCTGTAATAATCGAATATTAGTCAACTGTGGGCCTTTTTTTTCTTTAGGGACACAACATAATGATTCTTGATAGTGATCATTGGTATGTCAGCTTAAACTCTACGACCTGTGTCATTTTTTGATATTTCAAAAGCTAACAGGGCGTGATATAACTGAATACTGTAGTTGTCTACCGGAAAATTAAATTATTTCATTTAAAACCTTGAAACGTTAATTCTCCCTACCTAGCACACAGGGACGTGTCACCACCCCTTGTATTTGCGACTAAAAAATCGGTTTCATGTCTGCAAAATCATAACAAATATAAACAAAAGTAACAAAACTATTTAGGGTCGCGAAAATTCTGTATCACGCATATAGATATGATTATATACAAAATCAACTTAACACAAAATATTCTTGAAAACTTCGAGACTGCTGTTGGAAGCGAAAGAATACACGCTGGTAACCAAAATGGCGCTTGCGAACGGTCTCGATTGAAGTGAGAAATGTCTATAATGGAACATTTTCAAGAGCAAAACAAACGCCATGAAGCGATATTAACTCCCTTAATTGCCAGCTGTCATTACTTTGCCTTGTCAATGTGGAACTAACGTAAAAGGAAGTCAACAGTTTGTGAACGGGCCAGACACTTACGATAAAGGGAGAACATTTAAGGGGAGGTCACTCTTCTTTGACAATGGTTCTGTCTAAGTGTTATGTTCACAGCAGTGAAATATCAAGTGTTATGGTCTCTGCAGTGAAGTGAAATATCAATTGCTATGTACACTGCACTGAAAATATCACTTTTCTCAACTTCGATTAACTCAGTCTTTCACACTTAAGTATATAATAAAACATCTGTCCGGAGAGCGGAAGGTCAATGGTTCGATTCCCGGTCGCGCCAAAGCAAGGGACGTTAAAAGATGGTACATGTTGTTTCCCTGCCTGGCGTTCGGCTTTGAGTACATACAACAAGGACTGGTTGGCTCGGAGTCAGTGTCATATCAATCTCATTAAAATCAGATCCTAGTTCTCGCTACCGGTAGCGGTAGCGATAACTAAGGTCTGATTTTAATGAGATTGGTATCATATGTGCATAAGTGGGGTATTCATGTTAAACTGGGACATGTCATTAGTGGGCAACTACTGTAAAACCAGCCAGCATTAGTCTGGACTAGCACACACATGCACACAGGCATGCGCGCGATCGTTTGTAATGTCTCTGAAAAAAATCAGAAACGGTGCTTTGAAATTAAAACAAATGAAGCTGCAAAAACACAAAACGATTGATACAAAACCATATTTTTAAAACACCTACCTGCTGCGCACAGAGCAAAAAGTACAACCAGCCATATGTACGATGGCATATTCCTCATACGCGATGACCAGTGTATGTGTGTGTGTATAAATATCCCAATATGAAACGCAGAGAACTTTCATTAGCTGTTTAAGAACCACCTCTTATAGGGCTTCCTGAAAGTGGGCGGGTCAATTACCTTAGGTCTCTGAATGGGTGAATGCCTTTGACAACTGAAACATGGTTGCGTTTTGGAGAGCCCGACCATGCACGTTTTTCTGTATGAAAGTATATGAAACAATAATTAAATATATAAATTGTTACATGCGTCCTAAAAGATATGTATTTGCAGAAATGGATAGAATTAATGTGCAAATCAAATAAATGTTTATATTATAGAATCATGAAAAGTAATATTGAAATTGAGGCGTACCTCTGTAAACTTGAGTTTAATTTTTTTTAGAATTGCACTAGCACGATTTAGATGTTCCTCACACAACCTGTATAGACTGGTAGATATAATCACACTGATAGAAGAGACAGAATATGCACATTGTGTAACACAAATTCAATTGAAGATGAGTTTCACTTTCTTCTGGTATGTCAAGCTTACAAACATTTACGTGAAAAATATTAGCCACCTTTCTACTCTGTACACCCGAATGTCCATAAGTTTGTAGATCTTTTAACTTCATCTAATGAAACTATGTTATGTAACCTGTCAACATATGTTTATCACGCGATGTCACATAGAAACAGAATTGTTATTTAACAACCACGTCACCTACATGTAAATACGTATTGTACTATAGGCCTGTGGCCTTTTAAGTACTGAATAAAACTGATTGATTGTTACATGCGTCAGCTGACTGAGACACGAAGGGGGGTTAAACAATCATTGTATTTTCTTGCTTTCAACATCAGGTGTATTATCGGCGTAGTTCTGTAGTTTTATACATCATTGTATATCTCATTCGAAAGGGCGAGGTAGGAAAAGAACCTTTTTTGGCCCATTAGAAATGTGAAAAAAGTAAAGGTACGTTAAAGCCAATAATTGTAGGAAAATTATCAGACATTTCAAATGATTGATAACAAACCGTTATCTTCTCTTTTATACTCCGAATTTCTTTTTACTTATGTCATTTTCAAGTACGTAAGAATGGCTAATAAAGGCAAAATAGGCTGATGTTTTCAACATCAAGAGCTAATCTAACTATGAGCACAAGGTGATGATTTACGACATGTGTGTACTGCCTTTATCTACATCACATCTACATCTTGGGTTGAAGACTTGTTCATGTTCAAATATTTAAACAAACCCTTTATTAAAAACCTCTAAAATTTTAAACATTAATTAAATTTAATTTAATTCATTTAATCTGATGTATACATTCCGCGTTGTTTTAAGTCCAAAACATTGATGTGATAAAATGTCAGATTCTCATTCATTTGAACGTACACCTGGTCACCCTGATATATACTGCCAGGCATAAAGAAAGTATACACTTCAAAATGGATTTGACCAAAATTACAAAAGTTATCAAAACGTTACTTGGCTGAATACAGTCGCCGAAACACTGCAAACTAGAGGTCCAAAAACACAACTACTGTTCCCGTGTCAAATACATCACCATCGAAAAACTATTTCTTGTTGGGTTTTTTATTTAGCCGCCTTCAAACTTTTGCCCGGCAGTTTACATTAGTATTGCTGGAAGTGAAGTGACAATTCATCCACTCACAATCTCACAACCTTAAAATTTTGCTTTACTTTTAGTTATGTTTGCCGTAAGAGACGACAATGGGATCGGGTGGTCAGGCTCGCTGTCTTGGTTGATAATGCATGTCATTGTATCCCAATTGCGTTGATCGATGTTCATGATATCAATCACTGGATTGTGTGGTCTAGACTCACACAGACCGCCGTCATATAGCTGGAATATTGCTTAGTGCGGCGTTAAACAACAAACAAACAAACACACATTCGAAGAAAGGTATGTGGAGTAAGCATAGTGGTTGAAGCGTTCGATTATCGCGACGAAGGCCCGGATTCAATCCCGTACAATGTGTGAAGTCCAATTCTGGTCTTCTCCGCCGGGATATTTGTGGGATATTGCTAATAGCGGCGCAAAATCATATTCACTCACTCATTCAAAAGAGAAGCTGGGCTAACTGCTTGACCTCGGTAACAGGTCGCATGGACGTGGACACAGCACATTTATCATCTGTCTACCACCTGTACACTATATCCTGTGGAACGCCAAATCAGGGCCCCCCGCTCAGCTGGTACACTGCTGTTTGAACTCATAGGTAGGCTATATCCACGGAGGTGGACTTTGTCCTTCTTTACCTGTGCGCTGCCGCAGCACGTATACACGACAGGACAGCCAGTGACAACGGAGGTTTTTTGGCGTGACGTGAGGTGCAGGAGTTATTTCAATTTGGTCTACAAAAGAGCGTTTGCTGTAAAGGTGTTTTTTAATGCCGTTAAAACTGATATAGAAGATAACATTTAATAAATAACCTAAACGTTAGTTTTTATTTTCTTAATCGTTACACTGAAAAAGTAACAAATCGAAAATCAAACACAAAACCAAAGCCACATTCATTACGTTTTGCGTGTTTTAACATCTCATAATGAATATATTAAATAATGTCTTTTTATACTCTATCTTGATTCAAACTAAGTTTAATACGACTTTCATCAGGCATACATTTAAACTAGTCCATTCATACTGGTCTTAGTATTCAATGCTGCGATTATATCCTTATAAGATCATATATCCCCGTGCTATGGGTTTTCGGACGCTTAAGAAACATTCGTAGTTTTCTTTCTAATCACATGAAAATACCTCATTCACTTATAAAAAAGACAACTCTCTCTAAAAAACGAGCCATCATCAGAGTATTTACAATGTCTGTGTGATGCTACACCTCCTGTTATAGCGCGAGTAATCGCGATAAACATGACCGTCCGAAAACCTATATGACATCCGAAAACTTATTATCCGACGATATGTTATTTTAGGACATATTTGTTTATATCAACTAAAAATAATAGGGTGTGTTTTCTTATTTCACAGTTTCCTTCCCTACAAGAGCAAAGGTTACATATTGTAGATGGGAATACCGTGACATGCCCATCACTTAATCTCTTCATCAACAAAACAAAGCGACCTTCCCAGTTTTCGTAAATCTTCGTCGCTCCACCTTCTCGGGGTAGGCACCTCGTGACGTCACCAAGGGATTGGGGTAGCTGTGGCGCGTGCCAGTCCAAGTATTTCGTTACCTTATCAAAGGGAAAGGGTACTTGTGATGGACGTGTTGACAAGTTGAGGATGTAACTCTGTAGTTACCCTGTCGGGTTAGAGAGGTTAATTACACACGAAAACGTTACAAAACAAAATACATTTTGACTAGAGTAAGTGAGTGAGAATACATTTACGCCGCTTTTAGCAATATTCCAGCAATGGGACACCAGAAATGGGCTTCACACGTTGTAGGAATGTGGGGAATCGAAAGCGGGCCTTTGGCGTTAACAGCGAACGCTTTGACCACCATAGGCTACAACCGCCCCCATTTCGGTCAGAAACGTTGAAAGACAATTGGTACTTGGTAGGGTGGATGAAAACAGGCGGCGTTAGCAAACCAGACAATCGTAACCTGAACAAAACAGAATTTAATGTGACAGGTCCCGAAGTGCAACAATGCACTGATGTTCAACAACTGTTATATGTGATACTGCCATTGTTCGATTTGTTTGTTGCTTAACGCTGCACTCAGCACTCTGTAAATAATCCAGTCCGGACCAAACAATTAAGTGATTGATATCATGAGCATCAAGTGATACGATGACATGAACCAACCAAGTCAGCGAGCCTGACCACCCGATTCCGTTAGTCGCTTCTTACGACAAGCATAGTCGCCTTTTAGGGAAAGCATGGGTTGCTGAAGACCTTTTCTACCCGGATCTTCAGGGGTCTTGTTCGATCTGATAAGGTGATACGATGACATGCACCAACCAAGTCAGCGAGCCTGACAACCCGATCCCGTTAGTCGCCTCTTACGACAAGCATAGTCGCCTTTCACGGGTCGTGTTCGATCTGATAAGTTGAAGAATAATGAGTATGAACCAGCATGTGACCAGGGTGTGCCAAACAGATGATTACCATCTAAGAAATAAGAGGAAATTAACGTGTATTTTCTCTCATAATATCCACATTTGACAATTGTAACAGCCCCCTTGTGAATGTAACCAAAATGCAGATTGTTTGTTTGTTGTTTATCGCCGCACAATAATCTAGTCTGGACCAGACAATCCAGTGATTGACATCATGGGTATCGATCTACGCAATTGGGATACGATGACATGCATCAACCAAGTCAGTAAGCCTGACCAACCGATCCCGTCAGTCGCCTCTTACGACAAGCATAGTCGCCTTTTTACGGCAAGCATGGGTTGCTGAAGAACTATTCTACCCCGGATCTTCGCGGGTTAAAGAGCAGATTAACAGACTTCAGGCCATCATGAATACAACTGCTAGGATCTTATTCAGATCTTCCACGTTTGATCATGTCTCCCAGCATCTATTGGAGCTCCAGTGGCTGCCAGTGGCTGCACAAATCAGCTATAGGATCTTCATCAATGCCTACATTGTTATAACAACCTTGCACCTGCCTGCCTCCTAAACGATCCATCCGACTTCACAGAGCTCAAGATAAGCTTTTCGTGTTGTGGGTATTTTACCCATACATTTTAAAATCATTGGGTCTCAGTAATTCTATCTGGATATTCAAATTTCTGTTACCCACTAGTTTTTACACATGTTGGTATTTAAGTTAAATATTTAAAAACACTATTCATCTTGTCCCTGCAAACTTGTGTCGAGTGGGTTCGAGAGCTTTATAGGACTCAAAAATACCACGATACTTCTACAAGAAAGTGTGATGGCAAATGATCATGATGTAACTGTCATCATGGAGTTTGGCAAGGTTGGTTGACGGAATGCCCGTTTATAATTTCAAAATAAGTTGCTGATTTGCTAATCGAATACGCAGGGTTACTTCACAATATTTTGAGGATACACACAAGTTTTATTTTTGTAGCGTATCTGTAATGTTCGTTGCGTATTTGATACGCTTGGATTTTATTTTACTGCGTATTTCTGCATTTCTGATGGGTATTTTACGCAGATACGCAGCTTATCTGGAGCTCTGACTTCAACAACTATAAAATCATAGTTCCCCTTGTTAAAACCTGCACTTTCAACAAAAGAACATTCTCATACGCTGCAGCGCCTTTGTGGAACAATCTGCCAGAAAATCTGAAATCTGCTCCCATTATATCCACTTTCAAATCTCAGCTGAAGACATTTCTGTTTCAACACTCTGACAGTTGCTTTAGCGTACAGAGCATGTGTATTTTGTGAATTGTTGCGCTCTATTAATGCATGTATTATTATTATTATTATTAATAATAATACACAATTAGCATATCCAAGCATACTTTTTCTCGTTGAGGGTAGCCATTATGACCGCTGAACCGATTTTTGATACAAGTTGGGAATGATGTTGGAGGTTTTGGTGGTCTATTCTGGCCCGGATTCTGCGGGTAGTTTTACACTCATTTTCTGACCGGTGGTCAAACTGCAAGTATGTGCACTAATTATCAGACAAAAACATAATTCCATGAAAATTGTATTACAATTATAATTGTGGGTATCAAAAAAATAAGAATTAAGTCTCTAGCGTAGGTATTACGTTAGGTGGTCTGGATATAAATAATTTTGGACAAGGCGAACAACTGATTAATCAACAGGAGAAACGATCCACGCCATCTGGGCACGATGTGGCGCTAACACCCAAATCACCCACATGAGTTGCTTGATAAATACGCCCCCACCCACCAGATCGACTTTTACCACATGCTATGGTAACTGAGGAGGAATTTAACCCCGGAATCCCCACTGACATCGGTGCATTGATATAAAGGATATAGAGTTTATTGTCTATCTTACAATTACATGTTATGAACTGGCATTGAATCAAAATTCAGTGTAACCACCATTTAGACAAATGGACCCTGAAGCTCATTGTCTTAAGCGGCGCAACTCGCTGAGGGGAGTTGCATCCCTTAGCTTCCTGGATCCAAAGATCCTAGGCTCCGATCACCGACTGTGATCCTTTGTCTTTCATGATTATGCCTATGAGTATGCAAGTTTCTGTGATATTTCTTCTAAAGTTAGAGGTTGCATGACTTTACCTAGTGTAACAATTATAATATGGATCATTGAAGGCAATACGCACCAACCAGTTGGCGTGGCAGAAGTTCAACAAATCTTACATTCAACACCTTTTTATTTCCGAGGCAAGGGAGTTAACCGGCTATATAAGTACAGTTCCTCCCTTGCCGAACTAGGATGGAATATCATGGAGCTATAGCTTGGCTGGACTAACGAGTCTATGCAAATATCAATCAAAAACGCGTAACGAAATCGACATCCGGTTCATAAACAACATGGCGACTGCAGTGCAGATTTCGGTCGGTTGCAGGATTTGCAGAGCATGTGTACCGTCAAGAGGGTGTCGACATACATTTTCAATTCTTTTCACGTTTTTAATAAAGATGCTCAAGTGATTTGATTCATTTCGCGAGGTAATTTCCCGTTTTATTAAATAAAGATCTTGATTATCGTGGAATCTGATTGGTTAATAGGAAAGACAGTTCTAAGGGACATAACTCGTAACAGCCACTGGTGGCGCTACGATCTAGCCACGAAATTCCAGCCGAGTACGGCAAGGGTGGAAGCTGGACTTTTTGAGTCAGTTAATACCTTTTCCTCGGGAAGATGTACATTCAGCAGCCGATTAACACGCGTACGCGTAGTAAAGACTTCTGTGTGAAATGAAAGTCAAGAACAAATGAAAAAAACACTTTATCCCTCGTCATGTTGGCCAAGATCTTAATTGTAATGAATGATCATAGAATGAACAGGTTGCAATGGTAGACGTTTTCGTGTCTGTTGTGACGTCATCAGATGCAGATTCACGTGCTGCACCTGCCTTGTGACACCAGTCGGCGCCGTATCCAAGGTTGCTCGCTGAAGTGTAGTGGGCCTTTATCGATAACGTATCTGTAAAACACAATATTGCAGTGACTAAAGATGCATACAATAGGAGTTTATTCAAACAAATGTGGGTTTCAAAATTTCTGTATATCATCAACAACAATTCAATATTCACCGGTGCCTGTTTCACTAGTACCATATTGAACTTGCATATCTCCTTGTGAGCTCATGCATCATTACATACTGATTGTGCCATAGTGTGACAATTTGAATATGAAATACGACTAAGATTTTAAAAGGAGATCGCCTGGTGCAAATGTTACTCATTGAGGTGAGGTGAGGTGAGGTGAAAAGGGGTTCAATTGGTTGAAATCGCGTCCAAGATTATTGCACTTATATAGCGACGTGCATGCACGTGTGTGTGTGGGGGGGGGGGGGGGGGGGGGGGGAGGCTGCTTGTACTAGTCCGGACTGATGCCGATTAATAGTGAAATACTATGCCGCAGTTTAACATGAATACCCCACTCAGACACAGTATTCTGACTCAGAGCCGACCAGTCCTTGTTTTAGCCCCTTAATGCCGAGCGCCAGACAAGTACCATCTTTTAACGTCTTTTGGTATGACGCGGCCGGGGATCGAACCCCGGACCTTCCGCTCTCCGGGCGGACGCTCTACCGCTAGATCACGGAGGCGGTCGCTACTCATTGAAAGTAGGTCACCGTCACCTACTCATGAAATCAAACGACTGTGACACATAAGTATTCAAATACTGTAACCACAACATAAGATTTAAGTGAATTGCAGGAAAATATTTTACTAATGGCTTTTTACGTTTATCCTTTAAACAAACTTTTCTTCAGATTATGATCTTGAGGGTGACCTCGTCCCTAACTGGTCAATGTATGAACAACAATTCCCAAGTCTATAACGGAGATATACTTATATGAATCCCTGTCCAAGCACGGCATGGTTAAAAACAGCGCGGCGGCGACATTCCAATTCTGACAAAATCTTAAAGCATCCTCATTCCATGAAATCAGATCATTTACTACTATAAGCTACTTCCGCGTGGTGATCTGCCAATCTAAATCGAGGATGCTGGGATCAACCTTTCAGATCTTAAGAGGATAATTTATTTGTTTGTTGTTTGCGGTCTGCAAATATACTTGGTCCAGACATTCCAGTGATTGGCATCACGAGGATCTACAGTGAGTGAATGAGTATGGTTTTACGCCGCTTTTAGTAATATTCCAGCAATATCAGGGCGGGGGGACACCAGAAATAGGCTTCACACATGTCGGGAATCGAACCCCGAGCGAACGCTTTAACCACTAGGCTACCCGACCGCCCCTCGGGCATCTACAGTATTTGGAAACGATGATATGTAATCAACTAAACCCCTGATCCATTTGGACACCTCTTAACGTCAACTTAACAAAAGAATACCAAAACAGAGCACACATATTCTTTCATTATAGTACTACCTTTGGGTGTAGATGCCATGGCGCTCAGAAACGACAGGGTGTAAAAATAGCAACAATATTATAGCACGGCCTCTATTGTTTCCATTCCGTTTCCAATGAACGGACCAATTCTTTATTTCTGTACTTGAGGCCAGAGGCCTATATACAAGAATAATATAAATTAATGTAACAGCAACGAGAGATCAGGTTTTACACGTATAGGATAAAATAATCCTTATATACTGATAAGGGAATCACGTTGTGTTTTAAGACATTAATCCAAAAATCCATGATTAGACAAGTGTTGTTGCCTTACACTCCGAGACTTATTAGCGCAGATGAACGCAATGCCCGAACGATCGAATCCAAAAGTGGGAGAGATGTAACAATCCGTTTTGAGAGAAAAGCTGCTGATGACGTCGTATTTTGGACGACGTTATTTTTGAGAGGGGGTGTCTTGTGAGTTGATCCCCATAGATGTAACTCGGCAACGTTGATAAACGCGATGGCCGAACGATTGCATCCCATGGTGGGAGAGATATGACAATCGGTTCTGGGAGAAAAGGTGCAAATTTCCATACCAAATTTCAAAGTTCACCGAAACACCAATTTCATTAAAATCAGATCTTAGTTCTCGCTACCCCTAAACAAAGATCTGAGGACATCCCATTACGGGTCACGTCAGACCGACCTTGCGCGAACTTTGACCGATCAGTGGAATGACGGACAAGAAGTTAATGACAGCTTTCTCGTGCTTTACGGCACTAATTTCAAATTGGCGACTACGCTTCAAAACATATTTTGACAAATTCTCGATTAAAAATTTGAAAGCTGAACAAAAGAACATTCTAGAATGGCTAATAGATGGTCTAGATCGTGTGGATTCAGTCGTTAAGCCCGTAACTATCGTTCGGAATACTCCGTGTTAAAGTTTTCGAGGTTGCATCATTAGAAATCACATTCCGACTGTCATTTTCATGATCTGGTAAGCGACGCTCTGATTGGTCGGATGAAAGGTCGTTCTGAAATGACCCCTAATGGGATGTCCTCAGATCTTTGTTTAGCGGTTGCGAGAACCATGATCTGATTTTAATGAGATTGACCGAAACACCAAACTTTAACATTCCAGTGGGCAAAAAAGGACCCTTACCCTACCTCCTTTGAAATGTTTTATAGCATTCTTCTACCATCTTATAACCACACATATGTGTTCATGTTTTACCTGATGCATCGACGATATGAAACCCGTTATACATTGTGGCAGTTAAAATGGTGTCTCCTTCAAACGGGTCCCACTTCACACGCCAGATGCCACCACCCAAATCACAGACCGCCAGGGGGCGCTTCATCTGTCGCGTGTCCCACACATGTAGCTCTTCGTCATAGCTACAAGCAAAGAATGTCGATTTTTACCAGCTGTCAAGATGCGAACTTCCTTGATTCATTATTTCAATCAAAAATATCTTCACGAATGTGTTGTTACATCACGCCTTACCTCCCCACCGCCAGCTTGTATTCCTGCAGACGGTTGCTCTGTATGCTGCAAACGCCCATACTGTGTCTGAAATGCACCAGCAGAATTTCATGCAGAACCACGAGTTGAGTGAGTGTTTGTTTGTTTATGTGTTTATTGTTTAACGCCGCACTTCCAGCTGTATGACAACGGTCTGTAAATAATGGACAACACAATCCAGTGACTGACATCATGAGCATCGATCCACGTAATTGGGATACGATGCCATGCATCAAACAAGTCAATAAGCCTGACCACCCGATTCCGTTAGTTGCCACTTACGACAAGCATAGTCGCTTTTACGGAAAGCATAGGTTGCTGATGACCTATTCCACCCCGGATATTCACGGGTCAGTTGAGTGAATTAGTGCGTGTGCTGACACCACAATCAGCAACATTTCCGGTTGTTTACGGAAGACTGTAAACACCAATCTGGACCTGGTGGTTGAAAGCATGAGCATCGATCCAAACTGTAACATCCCCGCCCAACCATCCCGCCGACTGAATGGCAAAGGAATATTAATAATATATTTACTGAACGTCTCCTCTGCATACAATTAAATTAAACCCTTTTCCGGAGAACAGTCTAGGCCCGCCGCTGTACATGCGAGTGCGCATGTAATTATTCCTTATATCAATATTCCAACGAAGTTTAAGAACGCTGAGAATAGTCTAAAGGCATTATACCACATTCGTGACCACTCGTGTCTTTCCAGCTGAATGGCGCTTCAGGCAGCATTCATCACCACTCGACCCTTTCCGTAACCAGCAAGAAGACTCGTTCCCCCTATCGATGAATGTTACACGCGAAAAAAACAACAAACCAATCACAATGCGCGTATGACTTCAAGTACTCCGGCAAAGAATTCCTCAGGAATATTTTTTCATTTTACATCTTAAAAAATACCCTAAGTACAGTTAAATGTGTACAATCATACTGTTTAAATCCCGTAAGTGCCGATTTGTTTTAAACTGCATCTGGAATATATACGACATGGGGAAAATATACGTGAATCATTACGCAACGAGTTCAATTCTTTTAACTTTGAAATTGCAACGAGATAGGCTCGGGCCGTTCTTCGGCTTGTCCCGGCATAACACGTGTTTGTCACGATTGTTCTTGCAGGTTACGGAAAGGGGCAAGTGGTGACGAATGCTTCAATACCAATGTAAGTAGGCTCAGATAGAAGGCTTCGATGTGACACGTGACAGAACATGTGGACCCACAAAATTAATTTCACCTAACAAATTTTAATCAACATATTGTCGGAGCGCTCAAAGGATTTCGCTTATCTTGTTTATCTACCATATCAGTTCATTCACATGAGCAGAGACGCTACTGATGGCATTTATCACGCTTAAATGTCACTGCTTGCAATCCTCATATTGTATATATAGCTATATAAACGGGAGAACCATCGGTGTCAATATTATGTCCACGATTAATATTAAATCTGATTGGGTTGGTGGCATGTCATCAAAATGTCACAGCAGTGCCTAGGTATTTCAGAAATGTTCCCCTGCGTTAAAGGTGGGGAGTGTTCATCGAGAAGATTACGACGGGCGTCAACACAGTGGCGAAGGGGTTTAAAGCCTTACTGGTGTATGGTGATGAACGGTTTCGAGGGCTTACCGTTTGTTGGTAAAAGTAGGCGTCGTGCCTACGCGCAGATCCCATCCCTTGAACATGCCGTCGTCCCCTCCTGTGGTTGTACATATCGGGGGTGTTATTGATCATCTAATCACCTTGGTTAGAAACTGGACTTTTACTAAAGTGAGCGAGTGCAACTTACGCCGTTGGACGGTATTTCAGTTATATGACGGCATGTCAGCGTGATGTTGGAGGAAAGCCTGAAGTGATGTTTGTCTCAGACCGAAACGACTTTAGTTTAGTTTGAAACCACCAGAACGGTTTTGGTCAGGTCAAACCAAGAAACATATTCAGGATCTTAGGCTCCGGGCACGGCTAAGGGACGCAACTCTGCACAGCAAATTGAGGCGCCTTACACGACAGGGCCAATCCCACCACGCCTGTTTTTCCTTACTAGGTATAGTTAACAAGTGAGTGAATCAACGAAATACCAAAATGCATGTGATATAAAGAAGGCAGTAACAACAATTTTGTAAACAGATGAGCACTGATTTGCTTTCTCGAGAGTATTGTAAACACAACATAGAGTAAATAAAACAGATTAGTAATAACAGGAGAGATAACACTATTTCTTCAAATAAGACTGAAAGAACACAATCGAGCAACCAATTTATAGTTTCTCGTGTGGTGTCTGTGAATGACGAAATATACACCTAGAAAAAGATTAAGCACCGCCTTTTCTTATTTTTTCATATCACCCGAACCACCATGTATGTTTGGAAAGATATATCGGTTTCAATGTCTGTGTTTCAATATGAATGTGTGAAGTTAGGAAACTAAAGCAGGATACGATTTATAAATAGCTATTTACATAGAGACAGAGCGTCAGCTATTCTTAACCTTTCTCCAGGTGTATGGACACACTATTGTTGTTGTTGTTGTTGTTGTTGTTGTTGTTGTTGGTGGTGGTGGTGGTGGTGGTGGTAGTTTGTTGTTTAACACCGCACTCAGCAGTATCACATTCCTGTAAATAATCGAGTCTGGACAACATAATCCAGTGATTGAAATCATGAGCATCGATTCACACAATTGGGATACAATGACATGCATCAACCAAGTCAGCGAGCCTCACCACCCGATCCCGTTAGTCGCCTCTTACGACAAGCATAGTCGCCTTTTACGGCAAAATGGGTTGCTAAAGACCTATTCTAACCCGGACCTTCACGGGTCTATAGATATTCTGATGGACAGGACCGATGGGACAAATGTTAGGCGTAACACTTGTTTCATGATGGGTGATATGTCCACAAAATATGAACAACGTTTCTTGTTAAGGTACTGTCAAATCAGATACCACAACATGAGTATGTTGTTTTGTTGAGTGAGTGAGTTTGGATTAACGCCTCTTTGAACATCATTTCAGTTATATCACGGCGTGCCAGCTTGATGTAGGGAGAAAGACCGAAGTTATACAGGTCTTAGACGTTTACCACTTTGGAGAAGCCGACGGGGTGCTAATAATCCAAGAATCGTAATTTGTAAGTCCTGTATTAGAAACCTGGATCATAGGAGTCTGGCTCCGACAAGAGGAGCAACTCTGCATAGCGAAACGCCCATGCTCCCGTGTTGATTGAACGGCTGCCATCCAGCTATTCTTTCACAAAAGGCTTGAAAGTCGACATTATGTAACAAAAACTCAGAACACTATATTTACTCAATTTAAACTTTGTTTGGGGCACGGGTGGCCCATTCGTCTAAGGCGCCGCGATTCGCTGTGCAGAGTTGAGTCCCTTTGGCGCGCCAGAAACCTATGATCTTGGGTTCGAACTCCGATTCGGCCCGATTATGTTTCAAGGTTTGTCAGCACCATACCCGTGTTCTTGGGTTTTACCGAAGTGGTAAACGTCCGAGACCTGCATCACGTCGGGCTTTCCTCCCACATTAAACTGACACGCCGTGATATAACTGGAATAATGTTAAAACTGGAGTTAAATCCAACTCACTCACTCATACTTTGTTTTCCCAGATACGTTCAATTAAGACATTGTCCGGCTGACGTGTGCAGAAAGGGTATTCCTTTGTGACATATTTAGACCACGTGTTAGGTCTCCCCGCCTTTTAGTATGACTCGATGACTCTTTCTCCAGTAATATGTTTATATTTTAGCTCTTATTATTTTCCCATCAGTACATTTACCATGACACCTGTACTGAACATGGACTCACCTGAATATATAACATCTTCGTTCCATCTGTCATATGCGCAGATCCACGCTTCGTATTCATGCGCATGCCACGAGCTGACCTTTGTCACGTCACTATCTACGTCAAACACCGAAAGCGAACCTGTGGAATCTGACGTCACAATCTGAAGGCTTGAGGTTGAAATATAAAATGTGTTAAATATCTGCTAACTGTACATATAAAATACAATACAAATGTTCCAAACTATATACAGTAAACTACGGTTATAACGAACCCATAGGGACTACTAATTTTAGTTCGTTATAACCGTAGTTCGTTATAAGCATATATACAGCATAACTACAGCAAATAGTCAGGACTAAAAAAGTAAGTTCGTTATATCCGTCAGTTTGTTATAAGCGTGTTCGTTATAACCGTAGTTTACTGTACAATGACCATAAAGAAGTTAACATATTACCCGCGGTGCGATGTTAAACAACAAACAAACAAGCAAACAAATAAACGAAAGTTAAACATATTAAAATTCTTTATGATATGTCACCGAGAATACTTGAAAAACATGTTTGTCCGGTTTTACAAACATACAATGTTCACTGACATTCCTGAAAAATATGGGTACCCAAAAATATTTGGCCCTTCTTTTCAGCGTAACAAATTGCATGTTTTGTAGTATGGGCTTACAAAATACCAAACTGAAATCCTAGCTGCACTACTTCAGATCTATCTGGGGGGCACGGGTGGCCCAGTCGTCTAAGGCGCCGCGATTCGCTGTGCAGAGTTGCGTCCCTTGGGCACGCCAGAAACCTATGATTGTGGGTTCGAATCCCGGTTCGCCCCGATTATGTTTCTAGGTTTGTCAGCACCATACCCGTGCTCGTGGGTTTCACCGAAGTGGTAAACGTCTGAGACCTGCATCACTTCGGGCTTTCCTCCCACATTAAGCTGACACGCCGTGATATAACTTGAATACTGTTAAAAGCGGCGTTAAACCCAACACACTCACTCACTCACTCAGATCTATCTGTAGCTTCTAGTAATCGAAAAGGTATACCCAGAGACATTGATGTGTTCATGCAATCAGTAATATGTATATATAATATGTGGACCCGTGAAAATCCGGGGTAGATTAGATATTCAGCAACCCATGCTTGCCGTAAAACGTGACTATGCTTGTCGTAAGAGGCGACTAACGGGATCGGGTGGTCAGGCTCGCTGACTTGGTTGACGCATGTCATCGTGTCCCAATTGCCTGGATCGATGCTCGTGATGCCAATCACTGGATTGTCTGGTTCAGATTCGATTATTTACCGACCGCCGTCATATGACTGGAATATTGCAGAGTACGGCGTTAAACAACAAACAAGCTTCAGCGATCCTGACCCCCTGATCCTGTTAGTCGCCTCTTACGACAAGCATAGTCGCCTTTTAAGGCAAGCATGGGTTAAGATGGCTGTGCATATACACACAATAGACTTGAATACCATGTAATTCATCTGAGTTATTACATACTTCGTGTCACTAAAAATACAATGGTTTTTTTCATTTACCAATAAGTAATGATTTCAGAGTCTGGGCATATTGACTGATACACGTACCAAGAGTTGGGAAGTAAAAAACAAAGGAATGAATCGTCGACTTGCGTTTCAATCTCATTAAAATCAGATCTTCGTTCTCGCTATCGCTAAACAAAGATCTGAGGACATCCCATTAGGGGTCACGTTAGAACGACCTTTCATCCAACCAATCAGAGCGTCGCTTACCAGATCATGAAAGTGACAGTCGGAATGTGTTTTCTAATCATGCAACCACGATATATTTAACACAGGGTATTCCGAACGACAGTTACAGGTTTTATGATTATATCCATATAATCTGTGCCATCTATAAGCCATTCCAGAATGTTCTTCTTATAAGTTTTTAAAATCTTTAATCGAGAATACGTCAAAATATGTTTCGAAGCGTAGTCGCCAGTTTGAAACTAGTGTCGTAAAGCTCGAGAAAGCTGCCTTCTGATTGGCCAATGTCGATTTCTTGTCAGTCATTTCATTAGTCGGTCAAAATTCGCGAAAAGTCGTTCTGACGTGATCCGTAATGGGATGTCCTCAGATCTTTGTTTAGCGGTAGCGAAAACTAAGATCTGATTTTAATGAGATTGCTTGCGTTTGTGAGGCGTTTTCAGATTTTACGTGCGCTTCCGACTAATGCTAATTTGACACTCGGGGGGAATATTACAACATACACACCATACATTACCTGTCATGTTTACTGTCGCTCCAGTCAAGGGACAGACCGAGACACGTCAGGCCCAGGTCAATCTGGGTCAGTTTCTTCGGGGGTGTCATCAGGGCGGTGTCGGCAACCTGCCACAGTTGTAAGTGACCCGCAGCGTTGACCAGTCCACACGTGAGCAGTAGACAGGCCCGGGCACACCACTTGATGTCCAGGACTCCCGGCATGTCCAGACAATGATGCAATGAGAGGCTCCTGGGACTGGCTTCAGTGGACTCTAAGCGGTACACCCTCAGTTGGCCTACTCGGGTCTGTGGTCGCTTTTCGTCACACGTTGATTCTCCCTGTATGTACGTTGTACTGCACTTTTAGTATAATTTTGTTTGTGTGTGTAAAAAATAGTACATCTGAAAAAAGGGTTTTAGGACAAATCTGCGAGCTATTATGCTGTGTATGATATGATTGTTTGCGTTGCGTTGCGTTGCGTTGCGTTGCGGCAGATGAATTCTGTTTCGGATTAGGCGATGATTGTCGCCCTTTCACGGATATGTTCTTTATTATCATACCACCATGTCTGAATGATGAGATCTGATTGGTCCACGTTATCTTGATAAAAAACAACAACTATATCTGATTTGACACAGTAGCACTGTGGTTAATGGATTCCCTCTTGGCGCTCCCCGTGGTACTGATGGAATATTGCAAAAGGCTAGACCCACTCACATAACAACTGACGCTATTGCATTCTCGATATTCTTCAAATGATGTTTTTTTTTATCATTTGTCTGTTAAGATGCAATAACCACGGATGATCACCACAATATTTGGGCCGTCAATACACATTCCCTACTTTCCTACCATTCCCAATTATCCAGCAATACAATATGGTCTGGATAATCGAGGACGCTCTATTAGATACAAAATAATTTATATACCTTGTCCTGTTCCTCCAGTTGGTAGGTGCCACACAGCAGCACATCCTGACACCCCTCCACTGGGCACCATTCCACTGAATCTGCATTCAGTTCTGTGTCAAAGGTCTGTACCAATCCGCGACTGGAGGGGTCAGGTGAGCCCTCAGCCATAGCTGACCGGAGATCTAAAATAACAATTACAGTTTGGCAATGATTGTCAGAATAATTTTAAACCGCTCAGTTATCACAGGGATAGTACACTAAACATTGGAAGAATTGCGTATTTTGGTGTGGATGAGTTTGTTAACTCCGCAATCCGGAATAGTCTAGCTGTATCGCGGCGGCCTGTAAATAATCGAGTCTGGATCAGAAAATCCAGTGACGGATATTGTGAGCAACGATTCACGCTGTCGGGGTACGAGAATACGCTATCAACCAAGTCACCGAGCCTGACCACCTAATCCATTTGGTCGCCTCTTATGACCGGCATAGGTTGCTGGGGACCTATTCTAACCCGGAATCCCGACGTGGTTGGTGCGGATTAGTGAGAGGGTGCGTTTAACGCCGCTTCAACAGAATTTCAAACACAACACGTCGTGTAAATCCCAAATAAAAGCAGATCAATGGCGTTTGCTGCTTTTGTGAAATCTTGGATTCGAACCATCAACAAGCGGATCCTAGCAAGGCGAAAGCAGGCCACCAGTGACCCCCCATAGAATTTACTATGTTAGTATGAATCAGGGGAGAACTTTGATCACAGTAAGACCTATATGTTTTCAGCGAGCCACAAACTTAGAGAACTAAACTTCGACTTTGCTAGATTTTCTTCTCTCTCCAAACTTAAATACCAAATTACCGGTCCCGTAAGAATAGTAAAAATTGATTTTTAAACAGCGGTGAGAACAATTTCGTCTGTACCAGAACGCAAAATCAGGTCTTGTGGAAAAGAGAATAATGTAGATCAAGGTCGCCGTGAGATTACACATGAGTGCTGCCAGGCCCTGTGCTTACTGGGTGATTTTCTAAGGTACAATGTTTCCATCCCATAGTCTGTCGCACAATCCCTGAACCAGATTATTCTCTCTTCCACCCAGCCCTTACTGTTATTCTATAGCACTAAATGAATTAAGTCTAGATTGCGTCAGGTTCTGAATCTCCGATCTCACTGGGTCTCCTTTTCAGTTTAAATGGAGTTGTTTGTTTCTGCTAAAACTATATGTTTTCAGAGATTATGCGTCAGTCTATTCCATCCTAGTACCACCCTTAATTTGACCCTGTCTGTTCAATCTTACTCTTCATGGAGAGATGCTGGGTACATTACACATACAAGTTCTAGTTCCAGATTCATCAGCGTGTCAATCTGTGCCACTACAGATAAAACAGGTGGTATTCGAAACTAATAGTTTTTTTTACGCAGGTCAGTCATGACACTATAAACTCCGTGCGCAGAATAGATATTCAAAGACAAAAAAAAAGCCTCCACATAATAATATTACTGTAATGCCATCGTTTGTATACACCTTCAGCTCTGTCATAATCCCCTGACTATGTGGTATCACCTCACTTCTAAATGCCTATCAAAGAGTTGTCCAGAAGTAAAGAAATGGCATTGTGAGATTGACAATACAGGATGTGTATTCATTGATACGTATTCTTAAAAGAAAAGAAACGCATAACCAGTTTTATGGTGTGGGACATAACACATATATACTGTACATCTGAACACTTGAATAGTGATGACATGTTGCAAACAGAACACTGTGCAATAAGAAGATATTACAAGAATGGCAAAGGTCATGGTCATGAGAACTCACCATCTCGTCTGTCCACAGTTAGCCTCAAAATACTGCCTGACACCTACCCACAGACGAAATGTAAGTACGAATCACACAATGGGAATACTTAGCCCACTGAGCATGTAGTGCAATGACCTTGTTTCTTGATGAAGCTGTCATGGCGGCATTCCAATTCGTCCCATAGTTGGTATGTCAGGTTCAAAGCTGGATATTTAGACAGAGACTACCGCCCACAGCATTAGGCTGCCATTTCAAAATCTGTATCTGCATCATTCATATGCAGCTGTCGGTAAAGCTTGATGGCAAGGTCGGTACACCCTGGCTCTCTAATATGCTTGAAGCAGACAAATTGACTGGTCGCTGAAGCCAACAGTTCTCCCTGGCTTGTACAGCCAAGCTTTGTTTGCTTGACACCGCTATCACGGTTGACCTTGCTATTGCCTCAAACCATCACCTCTGACACGCAATCTGGATGTGAGACCTACCCCACGAAAGCAGTTCCTCACTGTCTGGACAGAAATCCCTTGAATTGTTGCTCTTGCGGTGAATAGTGTCGCATGTTGTGTCGCAAATGAAGGTAAGGAGGTATGAAGCCGTCCTGGCTTCATGCACCAGCTATTTATTTCCATTTAAAATTGCCAGTTTTTAAATTGGATCATGAACTATTTTTCTGAGCAACTTATATTGAAAAACAGAAACCAAAATAACTTATGAACTGAAATGTTTTGTAACTGTGGCATTGTAACAGTTGTTTTACTACCCCTCCAACTGCTTACTTGTATATACTGACAGTGTGTGCCACCACCTGGAAAAAACACTCTGTTTGTAGCTGATCACATACAGAAATATACATATATTTTAGAGAGGTAGCATATCATGAAATACCTGTAGTTGCAGCTGTTTTTTAAACATACAAATGTCTCTGTGTCCCAGTGGATGCATTCTGTGTTTTTTGGACTTCCATTTTCAATTTCTTTTCACATAGGATGCAAGATTTCAGTTCTGGGAAATGTTGGCATTTCCTTCTGACTATGCACCCATTCCTTCTGACCTTTATAGGTTTGAATAAAGATAAAAACTCTAGTCAACTTCAGTGTATGCATGACCAGATCCTTTTTTATTATGCCTCAAAGTGAGATTGACCAATCAGAGAGCAGAACTACTAACCCCATATGAGTCTGTATGCCGTCACTACAGCGATATTTGATTCTCTAACACCTACCTCACATAAAAATTCTGGTACAGAAATTTGTTATTCGACACTGTTTTGTCTTTTAAAGGCTCTGCTAACACCCAATATTTGTTCTGCCAACCTAATATAACACTGTATATACGGCAGCTAAGGACACCATAACTAATAATATGTGTATCTGAATACATTGTGCCAGGACTATGGTCAAACTATTCCCAATCTGACATATGGTACCTGGATAGGGTTAAGAAATAGGGGGTGGATGCCCGGGTAGTAAATTTGGACTTGTCCCAGCCCTACAACAAAGCTGTATTTGGATCTATAGGCATGATAAACAAAAGACAAACAAATTGAAAATTTTATTCACATTTGTCTTAATACAGGTGTTTATATATTTAAGTATTGTGCAGATGAGAGCTGAACATGCTGAGCAACTCCCTTTGACACAATAAGTACAAATGACATAACTCAGTCTTTAAATGAAGAAACATAAATGTTTTTCATCAGCTAATCTATGATTCATTTGTGAAGCACTTTTAGCACTTCAGTGATTTAAAGTATCAATTTTCAAGGTCATGATGGAAGACAAATGTATCTGAGAATGTGAAAAATGCTTTGACTTGAATATGAATACAACAAAACAGTGACCTGCCAGATGTCTTAAAACAGTGAATGAGATTTTACTATTCTTTTGCATCAGTATCACATGGGGATGTCGCAATTTACTGACACCTCAGTACATCACTAATATATACCTGATGATCTATCATGCTGATGATACTATACATGTTGCATCTACCCAATGTTGGAAATTTAGCATGAAAGTCAAGGCATCATCGTCATTACCAAAAATGATAAATGTTAACATTTAGGGGGAAATCAGTCCTAAGTAAGCCAGGATTCATGATTTCAGTCTGTTTTGATTTGAAACGAAAGCGTAATATTCATGAAGTTAAGCAAAGTTCTTACCTACTTATAATGCATTCATAATTTAGGTGACTGGTGACACTTTTAATATCCCAACAAAAGGCAGCAGACATCGGCATCAAGGTCACATTTTGGACAACCAAACCCAGGTCTTTGGATTTCTTAAAGTAACCACATTAATCATAACTAGGCTATAACAAAATATCCAGTAATGATAATTTCCGCCAGATCCTCCTGCTCAGAATGATGGAAGCACACTCATCATTGGTCTCTTTCATGGCTCTTTAACAATAACTTGGTTTTCCTTTCAGGATTGGAAGTATGATGGTAGTACAAGTACATGAAAATAACCTTGCCTCCTGCTGTGTGCTGCTCTTCAATGACTGCATGTTTTTTCCCACAATAATCATGAATTCAATACTGTACAAGATCCAACACATTTCTTTGAATCCACTAACACCTATTCAAACATAAACCTTGCACATCATACATACAATATACAGCAGAAACAGACAGGTGGGAACAGTCAACTGTTGATGTCCAGCAAACCTCTATGCTAAAAACTCATATTGAATTATTGTAATTCGTAGAGACCTCATAAAATTTCATAACTAATTTAGTTAAATTTACAAACCTACACATGAGCACAACATTAAAATGAAACTGTTAGCAACATACATTTTTCCTCCAATTTGAATTATCTCATATTCCAATATTTTGCAGTGTTCACAGTAGGGTCTGAGTACACCTTAACTGCATTCTTTAGTTTAGAAAATTGACAAATGGGTGTGTGTAAATGGCGTACATAAACACAGATTTGTTGGAAGTCTTATAAAACAAAGTCAATAATCAGTTTTACTTTGCTAACTGTGATGTGTTTGGAGAGAACGTCAAAATTAAATGTCATTTGGCATAACATGCACCCCCATCTATACCATGTATACCATTGTTTTAAAAAAACAATTTTTATATTTCATACACAACAAAATACAGACTGTCATGTAACTTTAAGGCGGAGTACTTGTAGATTGGTCTAAGGGTTTGTCAGGGTGCTTTTGAAGCATTTTGAAGAATATGGTAAATGACTTTATCTCAATGTTTTTAGCACTACAATACCTAAACAGTAGAATCCAGGTTTAACACATGTTAACACAAACAACATTTGACAAGGCGTGGTGGTTTTAGGGATCATCACACATGACACATGCTTTGTTTCCAGACTGGACTGTATGTTCATCCTTCACATTACATAACAATACTTTTCACATCCACATGCAAATTACTGATTGCTATTCAGCCTTGCTGGTACATGGAACATTCTCTAAAAACCGGACAAGGTAGTGATGGCCATTTTAGAAATGTTCATGAGACTGTGCATATGTCAACAAGTATAAAATGTCCTCTCTCCATATTTTCAAATAATGATCTTCAAGTTCTTGCACTTCGTTCACATTCCATTAAACATTCTCTGACAAGGATTCTGCCATGAACAATGCTTCTTTTCAATCTCTCAGCCGATGTCCTATTGCCAGCATATGTTGGCCTGATGTCTCTGCCCATGTCTTCTATAACTGCCAACAACTGACTGTATTTGCTCATTTGCTGATGGTGTGCCATTGGTGGGAGCTGCTGTTGTCTGGGAACCACACCTGGTAATGGGGGAGTGGCACGAACTTCTGATGGGTCAACTGATCGTGGAGTCCCAGGATTACTCACAACAGGGGAGTTAGTCTCCATTACATTTTCTTCATCAGCCATAATCTGAAAAAATGGAAAAACAAATAACATAACAAATTGGTCAAAGTCTTTTTATTTGCAAAACATTAATCTTACATGACCTGTATAAAATCTTCAGAATAATATCTTTGGAACAATAAGGTGAATAATGTTTGTTGAAATTATGTGAACAAAATGACATGATATATATATATTCAATAGACTAGAACAACTAGCCAACCATCACCACCAGACCAGTACTTGTGTATATGGTCTAATATCTGCACTGAATCATTAAAATTTTAACAACTCTAAGATGACTACAGTATATAATTTCAAATTATCATGTATTTTCCATATGAAATCATAATCACATGATTATGATGTTTGAAATATTTAAAACAGTGCGGAATTCTACTGGTCAACATCATCATCCAAACACGGATGTAAGTAGGCACTAGACCTCTTGTCTCTGTCAACGATCATGCAGAAACAAAGCAAACATTTCGACTTAAATTCGGCCTATAGGCTAGATCCTTTGTGCATAGGTTACACCATGCATAGTTAGCAACAGACCATTAATTTAATAAAAAAAAACCATATATATTTTATCCACATTCATTATTAACTTGCCATACGTACCAAATAGAATATGTCTCCAACACGATTATTTTTGCCACGCTCAGGAAAGGTAACAAAGACAACTTCCGGTTAAGCCTGTTTCGGTGATATCTAAAACATGACTCGGGGCGCGAATTAGAAAGTTTTATCTATAAACAAACTGGAACAATCTACGGAAGTTAATCTTATATCGACCGATCCAATAATTTTGATATATAAAGATGATTTTTCCGTTATAAATTTACACCAATGGAAGGTCGTAATAACATTCCAAGCAATATCTAACTTCGATATCAAATCGATCTTTTTTATAAGTTGACTATTCAAGATGGCCGCTCGCGGTGTAGAGCGTGTGCTAGCGAAATGTCAAGCATGTGTAGATGCTGGTAACTTTTATGAAGCCCATCAAATGTACAGGACTTTATATTTTAGGTCAGTATCATTCAGTCTATAGGATTTTGTATTTGGATTGTTGACTTACTTTACTTTATTTTGAAACGTTCCAGAAAAAATCCGAATGATCAAATCGTCATCTGACCAAAGATGATCTTTCATCTTGTTATTATTTTACAGTCTGGGACATTTGTCGAAACTAATGTTTCACTCCAAGAAAATGCAATTAATTAATTTGTGATTATATCAGTGTATTAGGGTCTGCAATGAACATGCATGATATGAACCCGCGAAACACTTAAAAAACCCAACCCATCATGCATATTCATTTTAATCGGCTTTAAGAGACAGAACTTAGCCTAGGGGTGCAATTAGAATATCTTCAGTAATGTAATAATCATGTGCATCTGTTGATCAAATGTGAGTCAGTTCATTCTTGTTGTACAGGTATTGACACATATTCATATCAAAATTGGGCTGACCCCTTAACAGTTTTCTTGTGTACTAATACATTAAGATGCTTACCTATACGTAACAATTCCATCAATTTAGACATACTGAGAGGCTGAAAAGACTGACATAACATGTGACCTACATTTGTCTTAATGTGATTACATTCTGCACACAACACACAAGTGTAAAAACTACCAGGCTTCTCAATGCTTTTGATTTTCTTGAAAATTCATGCAGATTGCACTGCATTTATCATTTTGTTGAGTACTTTGTAAATGTTGCTCCTGAAGTATTCTTGTTTGTTTATTAACTCTTAATGCAAGGACTATACACAAAATAGACATTTGATCTGATTTTTAGTCGCCAATGCCTGTACAACAATGATCATTGTAAGTTGTTGAAATGTCATCCCCTAGCAGGGTTAGAACTTATACCAGCCTGCTTGCCCGGGGTTATTGCAGATTCCAGCAGGCTGGTACAAATTTCCAAATTTTCCTACTGTTTTATGTTTGTTTATTGTTTGACACTGCACTCAGCAATATTCCAGCTATGTGAATACTGATGGTGGTCTGTAAATAATCGAGTCTGGACCAGACAATCCAGTGATTGAAAACATGAGCCCCATTGTTTTTACATTACAAGTGCATTTTAATTTTTATCTTTACCCAGGCTAGTAAAGCTTTTGTGTTTAGTTCTAACTGTGCCTAACCCAATGGACGGCTATTCAGAGTATCCAATGACTGCCTCCCTGGTCTAATGGTGGAGCATCCACCCGAAGAGCTGGAGGTCGGGGTTCAATCCCTGGTTGCGTCATACCAAAGACATTAAAAGATGGTACTTGTTGTTACCCTGACTGGCGATCGGCACTAAAGTCTGTATACTGTGTCTGAGTGGGGTATTCATGTTAAACTGTGGTATCTCAGTGAGCTAGAACTACAAAATCAGCATTGGTATGAGTAGCCACACACACACACATGTGCATTCATTAATGATGTAAATTGTTATTTTTTATACACATACAAAATAAATAACTTTATTATTAACCGATAAATTGCAGGGATTTATCAAGATCTGCGCAGAGGCTGATATTCGGCCCCAAGTCTGCAACAAATGACAATAAAAATTCCCAATTTGGAACTTAACATTTCCAAATTCATGTTACATAATGTACAATGTATTAATATACATATAACTAATGACTAACTTATGGCTTTGTAGAAGTAACATGCATTCAATTATTACAAGACCAACAAATGGGAACAGGTGTTAATGCTTCGTTTTAACTTATTGCATTAAATGCAATCTCCAAATACCTCTGAATTTAAGAATATGTGCATTTATATAACAAAATAACGATTTTTCACAATTTGAATACTGGGGGCACTTAGTTAAGAATCCTAGATCTTAAGTTCTTTTCCTATATTGTTTGATTATTTTAGCATCAGCTGGCCAATACTGTGCATCCCCATCAGTGGACATAATGTAAGCGATGTAAAAATCAAAAGCTATCTTGGTGTCGCATAATCATGATAATGAACTTGGATAAAATATGTACAGGACTGGCAGAATTGCTTTTCAGATGTATATTTCATACATGTACTACATAAACGTATTGGCACAGTTACTTCAATGAGAGAGAGTTTAGGACAATTTCTTGACTTGGTTCAACTTGGTCGACCTGTCTTTACACTTTGAAACGTAGTGTGGGGATTTCATGACAGGCTAGGGGGCATGGGTGGCCCAGTCGTCTGAGGTGCAGAGTTGCGTCTCTTTGGCACGCCAGAAACCTATGATTGTGGGTTCGAATCCCGGTTCGCCCCGATTGTTTCTAGGTTTGTCAGCACCATAGCCGTGCTCGTGGGTTTCATCGAAGTGGTAAACAACTGAGACCTGCATCAGTTCGAGCTTTCCTCCCACATTAAGCTGACACGCCGCGATATAACTGGAATACTGTTAAAAGCCTCGTTAAACCCAACCCACTCACTCACTCATTCATGAAAGGCTAAATACTAATCAATCATGACCTTTGGAGATTCATAAGGGGAATGACATATTAACTTCAGTATAAAGTAAGTTACGACCAACTCAGATTTCTTCTTCTCAATTATCATCATGTATCACTCATCATGCTCATCAATATACATCACATTTATTGATATTTCCTTGTCTTTATCATGTTTGTATGCTTTTATTATTTCATATATACATAGATAGTGTGTCACAGTGGTTGCTAGTTAAGGTAATAATCATGATGATAATATTGTAGTAATTATATGTAGACAAGTAATTATATGTACTGTGTAGATTTTGTGCTATTGACATTGACAAATGACATTGACTTTTTTGTATTCACTCACTATAACTTATAAGAACACATCCTGACTTAATTGACAGCCTCAGATACTTTTCTTTCTAAGTTACTCAATATAAGCATTCCATGTGACATGTCAGATACAAAAGATTTTAACCAGCTCCTTATTAATATTATCTAAAGTGCAAATACAGAAGTTGTTATCCATGTTATTTCTTGTTATATCCTACAAGGATGTAACAAATGTCTTGTCCACCATGTCTCTCAGTACCAGTGGTCTGCGGTGCCTCTGTTATGGGTTCACCAATTCCAGACTTTTCTTGTATAAGATGTTTGGTTTAGTGGCACATCAACAGCTGTGTGTAGCCCAGGTTCAATAACTACAGACCACTAAGATTGTTCTTTACTTTCCAGATAGGCCTCATATTTACAACAATACACAAAATTAATCCCCATTTCTCAATTAATTTTGATTTGCTTGCATACAAATTGTGAGCAGGAAAATTAAACAAAGCAAGAGTCAGGCCCTCCTATCTTTTGGGATAAAAAGCGTTGAAGGGGTTTAAAATGAAGGCGTATTGGTAGCACAGCCTCCGTGTTGGAACTCAATGCATATATTATGCTAACAAAAAGAAACACTACTGGACTTGACAGTGGTCGTTACCCTGTGCTCAGCCACCATGGTAAAATCGGTCAACTGCAGCGGAATAACCTTGACTGTAGTCGTAAACAGCAGATCTTAGTTAATTGACAACACCTTTTCCGAAAAAAAACACAGTGTGCGAGAAATGGCGGCGATAAACTAATAAGTGGCAAGCAAAGTAATTTCTTTTGATTAGTATGACATGAAGTCTTGACTATAAAACATACAATCCAATTGCATGGAGCAAGTAGTATTCTTATGCATCAGAATTTGTTATCTAAAGTGGGAGACATGTTTTCTTGTATCAGTTATCTCAAATAAATGGGCAGTAGTCAGGTATGGTTTTCAAACACACTGTACATGTCTGACATCTTGCCCACCAGATCCCAGCAATCTTGGCAACTGTGTGGTAGCCAAAACACACACATCCAATCTCATTAAAATCAGATCTGAGTTATCGCTGCCGCTAAACAAAGATCTGAAGACATCCCTTTACGGGCCACGTCAGAACGACCTTTTAAAGATAACCAAAAGACTGGACCCCAGGAAGAAAAAAATATACCAAATACCTAAAGAAAACTGCGAATAACGAATCTGTCTGCAACTGCGGGAGATTGATGTGTTTGAACTGTTTCCATGTGTAATGCTGCACCCTTGGGTCATCCATGATGTTTTACGTACATATTTGTGACATGTGACATATTCATGACTTGAAAGTTAAAATGTGACCATGTGCAAGCCTAAAACTGCGATGAAGTCTTGAATGAAAATTGTTTTGAACACTTTGCTTCCTCAGTTTTTTGTCGTTGTGCGACAACAATTTGGAAACAACCACATTGCCATTCAAACTTTTTCAGTAAGTGACTTAGTGTTAGTTTTGATTCTGCATGCTTTAAAGCACCTGGTTGCCAGGTGTTGAATTATTCCATGTTGTACCTTTGGACAAGGTACTGTGTTGTCCCAGGGTACACAGCATTAGTTTTGTAGCTGGTTGAAATCTGTGCCATTATTCTAGAGATGGTATAGCAATGGGCATTTTTCAGCAGCACTTGTATTAGCGGTGCACATTACAGAAGGATACGACACATATCACGATATACTGGTCACGATTTGATACACATCTCAATTTGCCATACCGTATTCGACGTAATAAGCGCCCCGCTCTAATAAGCGCCCACGGCGATATTTGCTGATATATTGGATAGTAAACAATCCTAATTAGCACCCCTTAATGTACAATGTACACAAGACTTTTTTATTCGCGCATATGCACACTCGTGTGTTATATGCACCTTTAATTAAGGGCAATTAAATTCTGGAAAAATATATCTGTCGTACATAAACATTTCAGGCTGTCACCATAAACCACGAAATTTATCTTTCAACTCTTTTTTTTCCCACCAAAATAATATTCTAATAAGAGCCCCCTATTTCTAATTTTGAGAGCGCCCTGGGCGCTTATTACGTCGAATACGGTAATCACAACACAAAGGCCACAAACTGAAATACCTGTGGTTTAAAATTGAGCTACTAAAAAGGCGAAAGACTGATTCCTCCTTTTTAACTGTCCGTCCAAAAAGGTAACACAGAGCCAAATTGATCCCCAAAAGCTGATTTGCTGGAAACAGGTGGTTTTTCAAACTTACGCTTATCCATTCTTGTTTTGTTAAGTACCGGAGTATGTTACAAATGTGTAGTTTGTATGGTCAAGAATCATGATGCAAGTATGTAGGTGTATGTATTGCACCGAAGACCACATCGCTTCACATCGTTTCTTTAACTAAGGCATGTATGACAAAATTCTTCTTTTCAATATTTCCAGGTATGCAGCTGGTCAAAAGTATGCAGAGGCATCAGACCTCCTCTACAAAGGTTCCCTGACGTTACTTAAACACAACCAGGTAAGAAACAAGTTCCGATAGTACTGGCTCTATTTGCCATGTTTGCTTTCTGATGAAATGATGATGCATTAAGAATTGTTTGATTCTGATCAGGGTTGAACAAATATGTAAGTCTAACAGTGAAGACCCATGAAAGTTGGATTGAACAATTCTGTGCATGAGCCCATGTTTTTAACAATTGTTAAGGAATTCATGGACATACCATGACAATAATGTCTTGTGTTCATGTCATGTACCATTTCCCTCCTAATATGCTGAGGGGCGGTCGGGTAGCCTAGTGGTTAAAGTGTTCACTCGCCACGCATAAGACCCAGGTTCGATTCCTGACATGGGGACAATGTGTGAAGCCCATTTCTGGTGTCCCCCACCGTGATATTGCTGGAATATTGCTAAAAGCGGCGTAAAACCATACTCACTCACTCCTAATATGCTGAAATCATTTATACATATATAGATGCAGTATAAGGCATCGCACTTTGCTGTGCAGAGTTGTGTCTCTTGGGTATGCCAGAAACCTATGATTGTGGGTTTGAATCCCAGTTTGTCATGATGATGTTTTGTGTTTAGTCAGGCTGCACTATACCTGTGCATGTGGGTATTATCAAAGTGGTTAACGTCAAAGACCTGCATCACTTCAGGCTTTCCTCTAAGCTGACACACTGAAATATAACTGGAATACTGTTAAAGGACATTAAACTAAACTCCCTCACTCTGTCACTCACATGAGAGGTCCATCAGTGCATGTCATTATACTCATTACCATTATGTTGAAACATTAAGATTTTAGCTCCAAAGAAAAAACTCTTGCAGCAGACCTCAAGGTCCCCATGAAAACTTGACCTAGCAATAGAAATTTAATGAGACATTTATTAAGATGCACCAGTGTGTTTGATAATATGTCACATCCCTACAAATTAAGATTTGACAAACTGATTGGTGTTATTGTGCCACTACATCAGAGAAGCAAAGAGTAAGCGATGCTGTTAAAGATGATGGCAAAGGCAAAATGTATGGTGCAAGACGTGAACAGACAAATACACCTAACCATAGGCTGCATGTAGAGTTGACTTTGTATTCATTGAAATATATGAATGTGTGATTAGCCAGTGACTTACGTCATGGACATTGACCAAAAATATTTCCAACACTGTTAATTTGTATCATTTAAGTAGTCTAGCTGTGGTTAAGTATTTTAGTTCCTCCATGAAGATCTGTGTTAGAATTGGTCTTCAGTTTATCGTAAGATGCGACTAGTGAGATCGGTTGGTCAGGCTTGCTGATTTGGATGGTGCTTGGATCAATACTCATGATGTCAGTCACTTGATTGTCTGGTCCAGACTCACTGATTTACAGAGCGTATATTGCTGAGCGTGGTGTTAAACAACAAACAAGCAAACAAATGAATATTTATTATAGTGGTAACCATGGTAACAAGGGTAGCTATTCTTGTTCTTATGACTGCTGTTTCCTTTATTTCAGTATTCCAGTGGAGCAGACTTAGCTTTACTCCTTGTAAATGTCTTGAACAGCTCAAAACAGGAAGTTAGCGGTGTTACAATGGGTAAGAAACGTCTGTAGACAGTATTTCAGGTAACACTAAACAGTACTGTAAGTTAACTGTTTGAATCTCTTTCTGTGTGTAAGCAGAGACCTACCCATCTGTATCAACAAGCTTCTAAGTCCACTAGCTTGAAATGGCCTCTTGTTATCATGTTCAGTAGATTTTAGTATTAATATGTGGACTTTCTCTGCTGAGTGTACTACATGTACTTGGCCAAACAACATTTTACTAGAATCTAGCGGGGGTGGTAGGGTAGCATAGTGGTTAAAGCGTTTGCTCGTCACACCAAAGAGCCGGTTTCGATTCCCCACATGAGTACAATGTGTGAAGCCCATTTCTGGTGTCCCCCGTCGTGATATTTCTGGAATATCGCTAAAAGGACTTAAAACACTACTCACAGGTTTGAACTAGAGTTTGAAGTCACAGATTGCCTGCCTACTAAGAGGACGGGCAAAACAAATTACACACCCATGTTTGATGGTGGCTTAAAATCAAACAAACAAGAACTTGATATTTGATGGTAATTTATTATGGTATCATAGCTGTGTTTTAGACCTTAAGTTACCAGTTTTCGGTCCTGTATTCAGCCTTGTATTGTAATGATTACGTTTGTAATGTTTAGGTCAAATTCGATATTCAAGTGTATACTTTCTTTGCCTAGAAGTTTGTTTACATTGTCACTACTAATTACATCTATGTGTGATGTCCACAGCCATGATGAGCGATGCATGTTTTGTCTCTTCAGATCGGGTTGTGACACTCTTCCAGCAGATGGACCCTAACTGTCCAGAAAGACATAATTTCTTGACCTCAGCCATTAGGTGGACAAACAAAGTGAATGCAGACCACAAACGAGGTCATCCTGACTTGCATCAACGATTTGGAATTACATTTTGGCAGGGTATGTTTCATTCTTCTTTAACTCAAGTAATTTTGGTTATGGACTTTTCCAGAAACATAGGATGGTATTAACGAAAAAACAACAAAAAACAAGAATTGTGCCTCCCAGGTCAAATGGAAGAATGTTTGCCTGGAGAGCGGGAGGTCTGGGGTTTGATCCCTGGCCGCATCATACGATGGCGCTTGTTGTTACCCTGTCTGTTGCTCGGCATTAAGGGGCTAAAACAAGGACTGGTTGGCTCGGAGTCAATATACTGTGTCTGAGTGGGATATTCATGTTAAGCCTTGGCATGGTATCTCAGTGGGCTAGCACTATAAAATCGGCCACTAGTACAAGCAGCCACACACACACATACATGTCAACATATAAGTGCAATTTTCTTGAACGCGATGTTAAATCCCATTTCACCTCACCTAAGATGATTGTAACTCCCACCTGTTAACAAAGGCTTGATCGCTTTAAGGAGTGGGGCCCTGGTAATTTAGTTAACAGTTGTAACCATCTGAGTGCAAGTCTATTGACATCATACCCGTGAAGATCCGGGGTAGAAAAGATCTTCAGCAATTCATGCTTGCTGTAAAAGGTGACTATGCTTGTCGTAAGTGGCTACTAACAGGATCGGGTGGTCAGGCTCGCTGACTTGGTTGATGCATGTCATCAATCCCAATCGTGTCGATTGATGCTCATGATATTAATCACTGAATTGTCTGGTCCAGACTCGATTATTTACAGACCAAAGTCATATAGCTGGAATATTGCTGAGTGCGGCGTCAAACAACAAACCAACCAACAAACCAACATCATATCGATGGTAATGTATACCTGGGATAACAAGCAACTCATATGAATCAGGTGGTCAGACTTAGTCACTCGTATCCTGACGTGAAAAGTTGCTCATGATATCTACTACTGGTCTGTATGTTGAAGACTTGATTATTTGCAGGCCACTCTGATATAGTACTGAATGTGCGTTAACATTTTCTGGCTTAACTTTTCTTCTCAACGTCTTATTGTTTTTTTCAGAGAAAAACTATGCACAAGCTCGTTACCACCTTATCCACTCCACAGATGGGAAAGGATGTGCAGCCATGTTGATAGAGTATCATAGTAGTCAAGGTTACCCTTCCGAGGTGGACCTATTTATCGCACAAGCTGTGCTACAGTGAGTATTTGGGAACATGTTGTGATGTGACCATAGTGTCAAAGGTCCATCTTTGAGCATGAACCCACCCAACTGTAGCTGGTTGGGTAAAACAGGCTGTCTCAAGGCTTGTAGCCCACCCTGCAATTTGTAAAAACAATGTGATCAGTGAGCTTGGATTGCTCCTCAGCTGGACTCAGGTGTATCTTAGCCATCTGGGCCCACTTGCACAAAGTGATCTTAGTGCTACAACTATTGTAAGCCTATGTTAAAGTATGGGAGTTACGATCATCTTAGCGCTAAGATCGCTTTGTGCAAGTGGGCCCAGATGGCTAAGATACACCTGAGTTTCCTCCCCCATCACTACCAGCAGCCTGCGTACTGGAATTTATGTACACCTTGAAATCTAGTGTTTTGTTCTGACCTGGTAATGATCTCTAATCACACGATGTTTGGTTTTTCACTTTCTTGGTTGTCTCCAACCCCAGATAACTGAAACATTTTTCCAGGTCCCCACGAGTTCGACACAACAATAGGGTCTTTTAGAAATATACTTATCTGCCCTTGATTCACATGTGCTGAGCCACAAATTTTTATGCGATTTGAACTTTGAAGGGAGTTAACTGTCTGTAAAAGTCCAGTTTCCACCCTTGCCGAATTAGCCTGGAATTATGGAGTTATATTTTGGCTGGATTAACTAGTTTATGCATAGTGCATTCAAAATTTTGAATAGTGTCAACAGATATTTTCCAAATCTTTTCATGTGTTTAATCAAGGTGCTAATGTGATTTGATGCACTTCGCGAAGTAAGACCAATTTTATTACAATATAGATCGGGATTATGGATCAGATCATCTCAGCGGGCGACACCAATTTATTTGAAGCAAATGCAAGTAATGAGGGGTAGAATCTCATTGGATAATAGGAGGGACAAAGAAGGGACATAACTCGTTATAGGCACAGGTGGCGCTATGATTGAACCCAGAAATTCCAGCCGAGTTCGGCAAGGGTCGAAAATGGACTTTTGCAGTTCAGGAAGTTTGCCTCGGGAAGATCGGTCCAGACTTTATTGTTTACAGGCCATAAAATGTGGCGTTAAACAACAAATAAACAAAACAAATGATGTAGATGTGATGATGGTAATGCATTTTCAAGTTGTCCTGTACTGCTTTCTGTGTGACTCATCATGCTGTTTGACTTGCAGGTATTTGTGCCTCCAAAACAAAGACACAGCACATGCCGTGTTTACTGCATACACTACTAATCATCCACATTTGGAGAAGGGTCCCCCATTCGTGAAACCTTTGTTGAACTTTCTCTGGTTCCTGTTACTGGCACTAGAAGGGTAAGGATACATGTGATATACCACTCAACGGTTGATAGGGACATTTCTGTTATTTCTTGATGTGCAGAGATGAGGTGAAATGGAGTCATGATCCATGCACTTATGTAGCGACAAGTCCAAGATTATAGCAACAGTCTTGCACATGTGTGTGTGTGACTGCTTGTACTAGTCCGGACAGATGCCAATTTCATGGTGCTAGCCCACTGAGATACCATGCCGTCTGTATCAAATGTTGAGTAGTGCAGTTTATAGTTTTTTATAAAGGGTACAGATAATGCCTTTTTCAAATTACAATCAAATTGAGCCTATTTAAGACATGATATTTTTGTCCAAATAACATTATCAGGATTATGCTGTAAAATGAATCTCATTTTCATGCTGAATGCTTCAGGAAGACAAGTTCACCTTCTTTCTCAATGAATGAATTAGAGTTACCTCCCTTATATTATCTTGGCTGGATTCAACTTGAAGACCAATGATTCTGTATGAGTAAGCCTTGTATATGAGCCATGTATGCCATGTTGTATCATAACAGTTTCCTCGTGATGACAATTCATTTTTTTTTTTCCTGTTTCAGAGGCAAATTAGCAGTGTTTACGATATTGTGTGAAAAATATGAACCTTCCTTGAAAAGAGACCCAAGCTATAAAGAAGTAAGTAACTACTGGGGAAATGGTACTAAAGTGCATGCCCTTTAATATTCTTGGGGGCCTGGGATTCTTGTTAGAGACAGAATTTCTTTTTCCATCACTGCTTCAAAACATACAATTTTATTTGTTTCAGCATGTCCAGCGAACAAGTATTTTATTTAGGCATATAACCTGTGTTCAGTTATTTAGTGTTGTTTTTCTTTCTCGAACAAACTGTTCCTTTGAAACTTTGATATTTATTTTTTGACCCAATCACATTAAAATCAGATCTTAGTTTTCGCAACCCCTTAACAAAGATCTGTGGACATCCCATTACGGGTCACGTCAGAACAACCTTTCATCCAACCAATCAGAGCGTTGCTTACCAGATCATGAAAGTGATGGACGGAATATGTTTTCTTATCATGCAACATTGAAAAATGTGACAGAGGGTATTCCGTATGACAGTTAGGGGTTTTATGATTATATCCATACAATAGAGGCCATCTATAAGCCATTCCAGAACGTTCTATTTATCAGTTTTAAAAATTTGTAATCGAGAATACGTCAAAATATGTTTCAAGGCGTCGTCACCAGTTTGAAACTTGTGTTGAAAGCTCAAGAAAGCTGCCTTCTGGTTGGCGAATGTCGATTTCTTGTCATTTATTTTATTGGTTGGTCAAAGTTCGCGAAAGGTCATTATGACGTGACCCGTAATGGGATGTCCTCACATCTTTGTTTAGCGATAGCGAGAACTAAGATCTGATTTTAAATGAGATTTTGACCGATAATGCTGAATAGTTCTGTATTCTTATTTCCAGTATTTAGACAAAATAGGCCAGATCTTCTTTGGTGTTCCTCCCCCTCAAGTCAGCCAAGGATTGTTTGGTGAGTATCTCTACTGGCAATTGTTCCCACTTCATATGTTTTGAAGAATTCTGAGGATTTCGTTACATCAAGGGTCACTTTTGTGATACATGCCATAACAATATATACATAAATCACATCGTCCCCCAGACCCCTGGCTTACTTGCAGTTTTTGTAAAAAAAACATTCTCCTGTTTGTGAATACATGAGTTAGGAATTCAGATAACAATACCCCAGATTTATCCAGGGAATCTACTACTGTTTAACAGACCTGTGAAGATCTGGGTTAGAATAGGTCTTCAGCAACCCATGCTTGCTGTAAGAGGCGACTAACAGGATCGGGTGGTCAGGCTTGCTGACTTGGTTGATGCAAGTCATCGTATCCCAATTGCGTAGATGCTCAGGATGTCAATCACTGGATTGTGTGGTCCAGACTCGATTATGTACAGATAGTGGTCATATAGTGCAGTGTGAAACAACAACAGAAAAACTAGTTTGTACAAATTGGGAATATTTACTGACATTTGCTGCATACTTGGGGACAAATATTGGCCTCTGAGGTGGCCAAGATAAATCCCTGAATACCTTCATTGTCCAACCCTTTTTAATCTTTGTGATGGTTCCTGGAAGCGTAAGTTTTTCCTATCACAATAGCATAGTGTGCTGCTAATGTCAATTACTGGACAGTATGGTCCACTGAAGCCCATTTCTGATGTCCCCCGCCGTGATATTGCTGGAATATTGCTGAAAGCGGTATAAAACCATACTCACTCACTCAGTATGGTCCAGACTTGATTTTTTACAGAATGCCATGACATAGCTGGAATATTGCTGAGTGCTTCGTTAAGCAACAAAACAAACATCTCAATAATTCAGCACAGGGAACATGACCATGTGACATATTCTTTAGAGGACATTTGAATTTTATCCATAGATTATTGTACTTGCAGGACATGAATCTCAACATGTTATTTCTCGAGCACTTACACTTTTGCACCATTTAAGTGTTCAGTATAAATCAAGGATAGTGTTTGTGAAATCAGGGTTGGATATCTGATTCATGCTCGTGATGCGTTGTTTTATCATATGCTGGTATCTCTTTCAGGGAATTTGTTAAACAGTCTCCTCGATGGTGGGGGTGCCGAGGACAGTGATGATGACACTCCTGTGACTGCCAACGCCACTCCCAAACGAAAAGAGACACAGTTTGACATGGACTAATTATCTTGCAGATGTGTGCCTTCTCTACATGGTTATCTCCCTTGGGTCTCTGTAGCTAACATTCTAGATTCAATTATCGCAGAATTTTGTCTCTTCATTTAAGACTGTGATCTTGTGTAGTATTGATTGCAATCTGATTTGAGTGTTGTATGTTGAAAGTTCTTTTATTGAAAGTATGAGATTGTTGTGATACATCTGAATTTACGGTAACAGATTAATATTTGGAAATCAATGAAAAGGTCAAACCAGTTCATTTTCAGGCAATTAATTTCATAACATTTGTGTGGTCAGATGGTATCTTTCTTTAGTGAAGATGTGATTCCACGGTGTCAGGGTTTGTTGTTGTCACAAATCATGTATAATATGCTCTCCAGCGAGGATGGTTTACTGATTTGGACTTTGCCTGAGCATCTTTCTGTAAGCAAATGTACGTGAACATTATTATTGACATCGTTAATACTTCATGGATCTGTGAACAAGACTACATTCTTTCAAAACCTGTAGCTTGATATGGCTGCTTTGTTGTGTAGTCGCTACTTTTTAACCAATGAATCAAGCAACGACCTGGCTCAGACAAGTGAGTGCTCAGATTACATCGCAGAGACATCAGTGTTTCTCTCATGCAGTTGTGTGCAACTTGCCATCACCTTTCTCATGGTGGCATGTGGCTCTGTGTGCAACACACAGGTCACAAATCAGGTGAAGTTAAGCAGTGTTGGTCACAGAAAGTAGTTGGATCGATGACTGGGTTTGGCAGCTTGACTCCTGAAAGTTTCTTGGACTTCGGTTCAGACTCACACTGAAGCACTCTCTTCACCAAGTGCAGTGAATGGGTACCCATTAGGATGAGATGGCAATGTAATCAACCTTCAAGCGCCTCACAGGTAGTTTGGGTTGTATACTCCCCAGGGAGCTGAGAAGGGAAATCAAGTGCACTCTGATCCATTGACTGGGATAATAATGAAGCGCTTTTAGTGTCATCATTAATGCCGGGCCATGGTATGGTTCACACAGAGTGCTTACAGAGCGCTTATGAGTTGGGCTCATTTGACGTCTATGGTTTCTTTTCCATGGTCTTGTGGTAGAGCGTCTGCCCAGAGAATGGAAAGTTGGGGGTTGAATTCCTGGCCGCGTCATACCAAAAGACGTTAAATGATGGTATTTGTTGTTACTTTGCCTGGCGCTCGGCATTTAGGGGCTAAAACAAGGACAGGTCGGCATGGAATCAGTATACTGTGTCTGAGTTGTGTATCATTGTTAAACTGCGGCATGGTATCACTGTGGTGTCGCACTACAAAACTGACATTAGTCCGGACTAATACAAGCAGCCACACATACACACATCCATGCACTTTTATATGTAAGTGCAATAATCTTGAACATGACGTTAAACCCCATTTCACCTCAACCCACCTCATTTCACTACCTGACTAAAAATGGACACATGTCATCACTACACTGCTTGTCGGCCCAATGTATTCAAGGGTGATGAGAAACGTATTGTATACATACCCTTGAAGTATTGACGATGTAAAGTTGGAGGGTTCTGACAAACCATTGTGACCAGAAATAAGTCATTACCTTTTGTATCCCTCTCACAATGATCCACCAGATGTCAATCCTTAAATGAAGTAACAAAACCCTGTGTTATCTCTATTCCTAATTGTTTCCATTCCTGTCTTATTCAAGCTAATTGGCTTATCATTCATCGGTTTCGTTAAGAGAATGTCATTGTTTAAGTGGGTGAACTTGAAAGGAAATGTTTCTATTGCACATCATCCTTATGTTATTCAGCAGCTAATGTTAGAGTGACCAAATAGTTATGGGGTGCACATCTTGTTCATTGGTCTGCTCCAGATAAACATGTATTCTCTATTGATATGACAGATGAAATACAGGGCTATTATATGATAATTTCCAGGAGTATTTGAGATGGAAATTCACATGTACTTGTCATGAATGTTATGAAGGAACCTTGTGTTGTTTCTGTATGATTACTGACAGAAGGAGGAATTGTATATGATGGAAATCTAAAGTGAAACCATTTTACTCTGGTACAGTACCTCTCTGTATGAAGACACCTCCATAGGAGGTCACATTAGGTGAACAATGGGCCAACTTTGAAGGATCAAATCAAATGAAGGATGCATGGGTTCTTGAGCCAATCAGATGTCAGCTTACTAGGTTGAGCCAATCAAATATCAGCTTTCTGGTATGGTCGAGATTCATTTCTTTACCACCTCGATTTAGAAATTTTAATTTTAACATGAATTGCCATGGTGCTCAGAAATGGCAGGGTGTGAAATATACTCACCACAGTAGCATGACCTTTATTTTACATTCAGAACTGCCTGTTTATGTTCATTTTGGAATACAACATCAGACATCTTGCTCTGAATACTCATGAGTAGAAAGATCATTTGAGGTAGCCTATGAAGGATTTGTTGGATCTACACGCAGAGAGGTGTCATCTTGGAGTAATAGATCGGATTTTGATGAGATTGATTTTATGTTTGGGAATAAATAACTATATATTTTTCCAAATCTACAAAACAATGAGTTGGACAATTCAGATTGAACTGTATCTGTTGAGGCCTTTCAACATATCAATTCTAGCGTTACAACTACTGAAAATTAAGTACATTAACATATCTATATGACATAGCATTATTAGCACTTTGAGCAATCTGTTTCTGGGCACTCTTCTATAAAATGACTCTGGGGCTATGTTCATTTCAACAGGGGCCCTTTATGTGTGCAACTATGTCTTTGAAATGTACTGTACAAATGACACTATCAATATGGACAGTAAATAGCTTCTTGTTTGAAGGTAGTCTAATTTATGCAGAGAGTAAAATAATAAGTTAAGACACTGTGCTTCATTGAAATTATGCAGGCTATGAACTTCATTTTTTTTGTCGAAAACTTTAATTTCAGGATATGTTCTTTACTAAGTAACTGACCCTGAAATGGTTTTAACTGTAATTTGGGACCTGCCTTTTTGGCATATTTAAACAAATATCTAAGTTTTAAAGCTCTGTCTATGTGAAAGTAATTATGATATTTTCATCTAGATCCACCTCACTGAAGAAACCTCAGTCTTTTGTGGTTTCTTGGAGAATGATGGTAGGAGTGCACTCCACCTCACCTTTAGAAAAATGTTTTGATGAAAATTTCCTGTTAATTTGTTTTCGTGTTTTTTACAAGCTGTACATGTATATTGAGAGGGCAGTTGTGGTAATGCAATTTTGTACTTGGTGATCAAGACATTAACTGTACACCTATTGTACTCCAAGTCTTATTGTGGACTTACTCAAAACCATGCATATGTAATATAAGATCCTCAAAACCGCCTGTTAACTGATGAGAAAAAGCTCTAATCACTGAATGGTCATGGTCACCAATTGATATTTGGGTTGGAGTTTTTGTAAAAAGATGTTTAGCCCAGAAACTAACAATGGGAGGAAATAAGTTTGCCCCATATGAACATACGAATATATGAAGTTTCAGACTGTTGTGAAGAGCCCTTGTAGTTTTGTTTTAGTGAAGGAAGGTGGTTAATACACAAAATATGGTATGAATACAGTATTTCATTCATTTTGGTTTGTTCTGTATAATGTGGAATTGAGATTGCTTATTTTGAACATTCCGCCTCAATTATCCAGTGTATTATCCTAATGTATTTTGATGAATACCCCGGACCATCATAATTTCATTAGCATTAGGACTTACCTCCCCCATCTTATTACCGAGGAAAGATTTTTCCAGTGAACCAGACAATCCAGTGATTGATATCATGAGCATCGATCCACGCAATTGGGATCGATGACATGCATCAAGAAGTCAGTGGTAATGCTCGCTGACTTGGTTGATGCATGTCATCGATCCCAATTGTGTGGATCGATGCTCGTGATATCAGTCACTGGATTGTCTGGTCCAGACTCGATTATTTACTGACCGCCGTCATATAGCTGGAATATTGCTGAGTCAGCGTTAAACAACAAGCCAACCAACCAACCAAAATCCAGTGAAAAGATCATCATAACAGTCTTCGATTCCTGTAAATGAATTGAAGGCTGGCTTGTTTGAGGCTGAGACTTTGAAGTTAGATCTATGCAGAACTCTTGTTTAGAAGATTCATTTTGATTGGTTGTTGATTTCAAGATGTTGAGCAAGAGAAATTCTGTTGTTGATTTTGGAATTGAGTGAGTATGGTTTTATGCTGCTTTTAATAATTTTCAAGCAATAGCATGGCAGGGGACACAGGTGGGGAATCAAACCTGGGTCTTTGGTGTGACCACCAAACACTTTAACCACCAGGCTACCCCACCGCCCCATTTGATTTAAGGGTGATGAAGATGGTGTTTCCAAATGAAACTTGGTTGTGTTTTGGTTTTTATGAAATTAGAAAGGAGATGAAACACTGGATCATCGAGGATGTACAGGCATGTTCTTGTGGAGATTAGTGGAATGACTTGCTGTGTATTTGTCTGTTCAGGTGACCTGCCAGTGAATAAAACTAACAAATCGCTTGTAATGTCAGACCTGTACAACTAACAGAGGAAATTGAAAATATGGATGTGTAGAAACTTTAAAGAAAACATACCAAGCAAGAGATAACGCAATTGTTTATCAATGTTAATGTTATGGTATCAAAATGTCCCCTGCATCTGAATGAGTGAGTGAGTGAGTATGGTTTTACGCCGCTTTTAGCAATATTCCAGCAATATCATGGCGGGGGACACCAGAAATGGGCTGCATCTGAATGAGAAATGTTTTCCTTACTGTGGTGTTGCAATAGAAATGGAACAGTATTTAGCCTATGCTTGTCTCCCTTCAATCTTATTAAAGTCAGATCTTTTACTCGGAGTAATGGAGAGTCTTATTTGACCCATATATATCAATTTGTCTTGTCTAAAATATGACTGAAGTTTCTTTGAAACCCTTATATCCCATATTTTTTATTTACTATTTTTGCAGTGTTTTGTAAAATATACTAATATGATCAACATGACTGATATAGTCTTGGGATTTACTGTAAATCCTTCAATATATGCTCTGTGTGAGTTACATGGCTCAGTTATATATATGTAGGTGAACTGATGTATGCTCGCCTCAGTTAAACATCTATATAAAACATTGAATAAGCCACTGTCTCCATATAATGATTGCTGGAATATATAAGCCAGAAGAATGTGGAATATATAGGTGTTTGATAAGGATTACTTGACACTTGCGTGTTATTTTTCTTTGAATTGTGTATTGCTTTCTCATGAGGCATTTGTTTAGTTGTTAATTTATAACAATTGATTTTGTACAGAAATAATATATTTTCATCCCATTTGATGTTATTTAAAAGCTATGACATACTATTGATTATTTTGTACTCAGCTAGTATACGCTACCTGTAGTTAAATGGGAACTGTGCCATTGATATTGTTGCCATGGAAGAAGAATTTGTTTGATTTCTTTTCTTCATTTTTTTAATATTAGTGATTAATAGTATGGTTAGCGCTTAAGTGCTCCAAATTACTTCTACCTGAGCTCAGTTCAACAAAGCAATCTTGATGTCCTGACTATTTTGCGCCTATGTTTAGTGGATGGACACAGCACTTTGGTTTGTTATGATAGCTGGCATATGCTTTATGTGGAGTTATTCACTGTTTAAAACACCAGGCGAATACACACAGCATATAACGTGATCTCATGCAGTGGCGATCCAGAGGGAGTTTGGGGGAGAGCCAAACAAACACCTTTTTTTCACATCTGATGACATTTTGTATGCACATTTCCTCCCACGATAACATGTTGATTTGGTTGTTAAAATAAAATGATTAATAAATGGCCCAATTAAATGGAACCCCATTTTTCAAAATCCTGAATGTGCCTGTCATGTAACGAATATGTGAAAGTTTTATAGTTTCTTCAAATAAGCGGAGTTTAATATTCCACAAAAAAAACATGCAGGTTCTGTGATATTTGCAGTGTGCATAATCTTCAACCAAAAGCAAGCACTGAAAAGAACTACATGAAAATCGCAGAATGTCAAGGTAAATACTTGTATACAAAGAACATTGATAAATCCTTTCTTGCTTAGTGACAGTGTGTTTTTTTTGCTGTAACTTGTGTTATTAAGTCTCTAGAATCTATTAGAGACTTAGAAAACGAGTTTTAAATGTTGCTTTTTTAAAATATTTCTTCTTCATATTTATCGCTCTCAGCTGTAATGTCAAAAATGAATGGTCAGTGTATATAATTTACAAGGCAAAAACGGTATGCCTAAAATCTTTATAATTCAAAGTCTGATTATTTATGGCTGTTTCTATTTTCTGCACACCAAGGCATTGGTGAAGTGTTGGAGTTTGTTTCTTCACAGGGAGAAGTTAAGTAATGAATGCCCCTATGATATGCAACAGATTACCCTGTACAGTCATTGTTGTATAAATTGTCATTGCTGATAGGTCTTGTGTTTTGTGTCTTTCAAGGATTGGAGAGTGCTGACATATTCTGTCTCACTATCCCAATTCTGTATGTTAAATGTTAAGCTGAAGCTTGTGTTATAGTTTCGTTTAAGTTGTCTATGTAAAAGTTTAAAATTCTTGCTACTATTATGAAATATGTACAGGTGCCTACAGGTATCTCTCAAAGCGCGTTATTGTTAGTATTCAGCGGGACAGAAAACTAATTATGACTAACTTGAAGGCAACCCTGTGGCATTGTTCGTGAAGGAAAGATAACTCTTATGGTTTTGCATTTAAACGCCACGCCATATTATATAGGTGACATTCTCAAATACAAGTAAAACAACCCATTTTTTCACCAGGCATTGCACAGGGACTAGGATCTTAAAATAAGTTATTTTTCTCACCAGTTTTATTTCATTGTTGAATCATAAGTTTAAAATTAAATCAACCTATTCCATTTCCATGAATATACAATATAAACATACATGCCGCTAGGCCTAGTTTTAGTAAAGCTGCTTGAAAGGTGTTGGGAACAATAAGAGGAAACGCGTAATTAATGATTGTCCTTTGTGCGGCTACTAGGTTGAGAGATCGAAGTAAAATAATAGATATCGAGACCTCACAATGAAAGGATGAACTTCTGAGGAACTCGACGGTCGGTCGCCGCTGCAGGACGCATAATCATTTGAATATTAAGAGAAGCGTTCGTAAAGCCTCAGCATATAAACAAATAAACCAATCAATAGTGCGCCAATATACTAAGTATAAACGAATCTATCAGTAATTTGATACAATTGAAATTAAGTTATGACGAACACGGAAGTTGAATTTTTCATTGACTACCAGCGAATACAATATATAAGACATAATTCCTCCAATCACTAGCAGTCGTCGTGGCCGAGTGGTTAAGGCGATGGACTCGAAATCCATTGGGGTCTCCCCGCACAGGTTCGAATCCTGTCGGCGACGTATGTTTTTGCGGAGCCGTTTACTATTTTGTTTACCTCTGTAACATAAATACATTGTATAATGCAACATTATTTGAAACAGACAGTTAATCTTTTCATTTTATGACATGTAAACAAGCCGTTCATTTATTTAGGAAATCTTCGTAATGCAGCATGCCGATATTAAAAATACATGGAGAACGTTTGCAAACTTCAACTATAAGCAGTTAATTGAAAATTCAAAATATTCCAATTTTGCGCCGTTTCAATCCAAATAAGTTGCAAACGTATGTTCCATCAATGTATTTACAATATAGGCTAAATTAAAATTAAACAAAACAATATTATATGTTGCATCTCTTCAACTCCAACACTGTCATGACAGAAAGATGACGAGCTATGATTGATTCAGCGATGACCACACCCTCTTACAGGTGTATCTTACACAATGATAATATGATAACAAGATCATTAGCACTCATCACTCACTCTGACACCCTACATATATTATAATGTTCGTATAACAGCTATATCGATCACTGTTCACCGTCACAGCTGACACAGCCAAGTAGATGATGAGTAAATCAAAAGTTCATCTTTTTGAATACCAAGGTAATGACTCAGCTAGATTATGGTGTCAAATTTGCCTAAGTATACCTGGATAGTCTTTTTCAAATATCACCTCGAGGTAAAAACTTATTTTGTTGTGAACGTATATGAAACAAGGAGATTTAGAATTAAGGGCCATGAACTTCCTACCGCATTAGACAACAGGGTATTGTCCCGAAAAGAGTGAAATTCTCAGTAATGATGTGTCATTAATAATAGGTTTCCGCATCTAGGCAATTTCATGATATCTATAACATCGCTATTTAAGACACGTTATTGCTTTTTTCCCATCGAGGCATATGTATCTATTTATCTGTATATCTATGTCTCTATATATGTTATTTCCAAGAGGT